TTTTTTTTTTTTGATTTGTTTTTTTTTTTTTTTTATTCAGTAACTTTTTTTTCCCTCTCTTCCTTTATTTTCTTCAAGGTGAAACGATAGTACTAGGGATTTTACTCTTTTGAATAACATATCTTTGTACTCCATATTATATTATACTGGAGAAACACACATAAATACTCACAGAGGGAAAGCGGCAGAGGAAAAAAAAGAAAAAGAAATAGATAGATAGAGGGAGAGACTGCTAATAATAATTATATTGTTATTATTATTACTATTCATTTATCTATTTCCATTGTAGTATATACCTCTGCAAAAAAAAAAATAAAAAAATAAATAGGAAAACTATTTACAAAGATACGTCTTTATACGTAGGAGATGCTTATCAAAGTGAAGACCGTCAGCAATAAAGTCATCGAGGTCGCCTCACTTAATGAGGTAAACACCATCGCTGAACTAAAAGAGAAGTTGGAGGAGTCGGAAGGTATTCCTGGTAAAATGATACGTCTGGTTTATCAGGGAAAACAATTGGAGGATGAGAGACGAATTGGAGATTATCCCATCGTGGCGGGAGCAACACTGCATATGGTAGTAGCACTACGAGCTGGTGTTTAGAGATAGACTCTCATTTTACCTTTTTTTTTATATATTCCTTTCTTTTTGTTTTGTTTTTTTTTTTCTCTATTTCTTTTTTGTTTATTTGTATGTATGTATGTATTTCTCTTTTTCTGTCTCTGTATGTACGTTTTGGATCGGGTGTTTCTTTGCATATGATGAGAATCGTCCAGAGTTGTGGAAGGGGAGGTGAGCCGAATCAGTAAAGAGAAAACAAGAGAAAAACAAAAGAAACTAAGAGAGAAAAAAAAAAAAAACAAGGAATATTAGGTATATTGAGAGTTTATATATATATATATATATATATATATATAATATACGTATGGTTGAGACGTGTCACTACAAAGTGTCGTGTGTGTTTCCTTTCAATTACGTAAACAGAATGTGGTTCATCCTTTTTCTCCTCATTTTTTTTTTTCATTATTATTATTTTTTTTTTTCTTGTTATAATGCATATCCACTCTAACCCTTACTAGTATGTATTTTTTGTTTTCTTATTTTTTTTTTTTTTTTGTTTCTCCCCTTTTTTTCTTTATTTTCTCATCATTACCTCTATTCTTTCTTATTGATGAATCCCTGTTGAAAGCGCCATTGTTTTTACCGTTTGGTACATTTGGCGGGCTCAAAGTTTTCTTCGGTGGTCTCTGCGGTTGTGGACGCCGGACGTTTTTCACATATACACATAAAGAGAAAGAAAGAGAGAGTTTTTGTGTGTTTCCCCGCCGTGGTTGGGAAACTCCTACAAAACTCTTTGGAGCCAATATTATCAAAAGAATAATAAAAGAGAACCAAATACGAGAAGAACAACAAAACAAGAGTGAAAAGAAAAAAAAAAAAACAATTGTTGGTGTCTTGCGTAATTAAAACGACGTTAGGTGAGAACAGTCTCTAGTAGTAGATTTATATGAGGAAGACTAAAGAAAACCAATAGAGAAGGACACTAACATATAAAAAGAAAGAAGAATGTCACTCTGGCCTTTTCGTATTGGCAATGATAGTCGCTTTCAAATAACTAGTAAAGAAGAAAGTATATATGATGCCATTAAGAAAGATATGCCCCCGCATCGTTATGAGATTGAATTAGATAAATATATGGAATGGCGTTGGCGTCGTGGTTTAATTCAAAGTGTATTTCCCGTAACTTGTTATAGTGCTATTTTTGGTTTCTTCGTTGGATTGCGGCAGGCCCGTATTGAAGGTCGATATATTGGACGTGGTAGAGTTTTATGGCGATATTGCTCAACCTTTGCCGCTGTTGGATTGTTAACAACGGCCTTTCATCATATACTTGTGGTACGGGATCATTACTGTGATAGATGGTATTATCCAATGATGGCAGGAGCGTGTGGGGCGGTGTTGTTAACAGTGGTTTCACAGATGGGAACTATTGCACAAGGTATGTTTGCAGGTTCTTTTGTTGGGGTAATGTATACACTTGGTTGTTATGGTATGGATTATTATCATAAACGACAGATGAAAATATTTTTACGTCAACAACAAACACAACAAGTTCCTGTACATAAAGTTTCACCAGAACTTCAACGTATGTATAGAGCCTATCTCTTTGATAATAGACCATTAGAGGAGGAGGATTATCGTAGACGACAAAACATGATTCTCTCTATTGGAGCTGATGAGAGTCGATTAGATGCTAAAGCTATTGTTCAAAATATGGCTCCAGAAATGTTTGATTGGGTGAATTTTCCCGATTGGTGGCCGTTAAAGTTTCCTCAGCAAACAGAGGAAGAACAAATGATATTTGAACGGCAGCGTGAAGAGGAGGTGGAACGACGAAAACGGGCCTTTCTCGAAGAGGATACAAATGTGTTAAAACGTCTTAACAGAGCGAAAAAGTATCGTGATGTCTAGCGAAGAGGGGAATAAAAAAAAAAAAAAAAAGAAGGGTGTGGTGAGAAGAAGAAGAAGAATAACAACAACAAAAGAAGAAGAACAGAGAAGGGATAATGAGGAAAAAAAAAGGTGAAAAGTAAAAAATGAATGAACAAATTTATTTGCAAATACATTTATGAATGGACGTACTGGCAGTGACGGTTTTATGAGCGGTGATGATAATGGTGTCATATGATCTCTCTCTTTATTTCTCTATCTCTCTCTCTCTCTATATATATATATATATATATATATATATATATATATTGTTTTATATATATTGATTTATATATATTATTTATATATATAAATCTGTTTTATTGTTCTGGGTTTTCTGTTTTCTTTACTGTTATTATTTCTTTATTTCTTTACATTGGGTTGTAACTACTACGAAGGAACTAGAGCGCTTTTTTTTTTTTTTTACTAGCGCATTGAGGGGAAGCTGAGACGGAAAGCTGTAGAATTGATAATATTATACATACTAATATAATCAAGATCCAGCTGAAAGTATTATCTTTTAGGCATCAAGGGGTAAAATGAGGATCCATGGCATTAGGTTTAGGGTTACGTTAAAGCGCGTAAACACAAGAAGTGTCTTGGCCTCTTCGTTGCATGAAGTGAGACACGGCAGCAGTATTAACGATAATAATAATAATAATAATAATAATAATAATAATAATAATAATAATAATAATAATAATAATACTAATAATAGTAAAAAATCTCCATTGTCTAATACGTATTTCAAAGGTGTATATGCTGTTCTTAACAGAGGACAAGGTATGTATCAGAGTAGTTTACCATTTCATATTAGATGGGATCGTATTCAGCGACATTTAGAAGTTCTTGGTCGAGTTTCAACTGGTAATACTGTTATACCATACCGTGATAGTGGAGAAGCCTTTAGAATGATGTGGAAAGCTGTAGATGATTCCAAAAAAAGTGTACTTTGGCAAACCTACATTTGCAAAGATGATCATGTCGGACAAGTAACGGTATCCAAGATGGAAGCTGCTCATAAACGTGGTTGTTATACTGAGTTATTATTTGACTGTGGTGGAAATATTACAGGTCGTCGTCGACTTGTTGGGAATCTTAAACAAAGTGGAGCCACTGTGATTGAACATCGACCTATTTTAGATCATTTCTTACCATACTTTTTAGGAGGTATGAAATGGGAACGTAGTCCTGGTATTCGTAATCATCGAAAGATATTACTTGTAGATGATCGTATTGGTTTCTGTGGGGGATTAAATATTGGAAATGAGTATTGTGGAAAAAGTGAGGGAGGAACCGGTAGATTCCGCGACACGCAGTGTTCTGTTGTTGGCCCTGCGGTGGCCCACCTGCGGGAGGTGTATGACGACACGAAGGCGCCCAAGCCGTGGAAGTGGAGTTTCGCCCGCTGGCGGCAAATTGCGGCGACGGCGATGGACCGCCGCTACAAGGAGGGAAAAAACGTGCGGGACGAGTGCCTGGGGGCGATGCGGCACGGCGGGCGGGTGTACGTCCGGCGGCAGATGGAGAGGGCGGAGAAGAGGGGGATGCGCATAATGGAGCGCATGCGGTGGAGACGGCAGCGTGAGCCGGTGGAGACTGCACTCCCAAAGGAAGAGAAGGGTGAGAAGGATCTAAAAGAAGAAAAGGAAGGAGAAAAAGTAGTAGAGAAATCAAATACATTGTCCATTTCACCGTTGGGAGCATCATGTATGAAGAAGGATCAAAAGACGGATGATGATCAAACCAATAATCTTTCTCAAGCCAAGGAAAAATTAATAAGAGAATTAGATACAAAAGGACTACAATTCACGTTTACACTAAATGATGAAGATGCTGTTCCTGAAGCGGAGGAATATAGTAAAGCTAGACCTTCTGTAACTCAAGTATTATCATGTAATCCACATACACGAGATTGGTCTATTCCTTATGCTTTTTGGCAAGTTTCACAAAAAGCACATAGACGTTTATGGGTAACAACACCGTATTATATGCCTCATAGAAAACTAATGCGTGCACTTTTACGTGCCGTTCGTAGAGGAGTTGATGTACGTATTCTTGCTGGTAGTAATACGACAACAGATCCTTGGTTTATGTGGTATGCCTCTAATTACATTACAGGTCGTTTCTTAGCAGCTGGTGTTCGTGTTTATGAATATAAAGGGGATCAAGTTATGCATGCAAAGACGGTGGTGGTGGATAGTATTTGGTCCTCTGTTGGAAGTTACAATTGGGATATGATGAGTAATAAAAATATGGAAGTATGTGTTTGTCATCTTGACTACAAACTTGCACGGGAGATGGAGGCACATTTTCTGGATGATTTGAAAGTAAGTGTTGAGGTAAACTATGAGGATTACAGACGACGATCATGGTGGTTGCGGTTCGCATCATGGTTTTTTTATGTTGGACTGCAGATTGCAGAGAAATTAACGTTTCGTACATTTGTTGATGCTGATCTTTCTTCTAAAATACAGTAATGATTGCCTTTGATTGATGCATGGATTTATTGAAAGAATGAATCAAATAAAAAAAAAATAAAAAGAATAAAAAAATGAATAAATGAATGAGAATTACATATATTCACATATTCACTATATATTTATACCCATTGGAAGAGGGTGTATGTACTTCTTTATAGTGAAGATAGTGAAAGTGGTATGGATGGAAAACTTCTTGTTAACTTGTTGTCGTTTGTTTTCAAAGGGAGTGGAAGGGAAACTTATTATTACCTTAAATAATACTTATCTTTGTTATCTTGTACTTTGTACACTTTAGGCCATTATATATATATATATATATATATATATATATATATATATATATATCTTTTTTCTTTTCTTTTATCTTTTACACTGGTTTACTTTTGCAATTTTCCCGCACAACATGGAGGAGCGATATCAATGAGGTAAAAAATATCATTCTACAAGAATGGTTGTGTCCGTCTTTTTTTTTTCTTTTTTTGATTAGTTTCTTTATTGTTATTATTATTTATTTGGTTTGTTGTTTTTTTTTTTTATTGTTTGTTTTTCTCCAGTTAAACGTGTGGGGAGTAATAAAGCTGCAATGGAGTGGGCAGTGTAGAAGAAGAGAAATAATAAAATAAACAACAAAAACAAAACGAAAAAAACGAAAAAAAAAACAAAAACGCATGTCTGCAGAAATTTACAAATTGATAAAAAAAAAATGTGGACAACGTCCAATGTATGCAATCAAAGACGCAGATTGTTTTTTTTTTTTTTATTATCAAAAAAGTATATACAAATACATGTATGTACATACACATACACACATATATATATATATGTGTATTTCTTCCCTTTAGGGGGAATCAATCTATTGATTATTATTATTATTATTATTATTATTATTATTATTATTATTACTATTATGAGTATGAAAACACAAGTGTTATTCCCTTTTATTAAATATGTATATATGTCTGTTGATGACCTTCTATTTATACCTCTGTCATTCCATCTACTCTTCTCTATTCATATCTATCTATCTATGATTAGGACAAGAACAACAATAAGAAGAACAACACCAGCAGCAGTAGTAATAATAAAAATAGAATTTTACAAAATCCAAGAAATCATTTCTTTTCTTTTTTTTTTATTGTTTTTCTTTATGGTATTACAAACACTTAGATATGATAACTGTATTTCACATTTCTTACGTACCATTGGCTGCGGGAATACCATTGACAATGTTCAAATACTTCTACTTTCCATCATGACAGAACTCACTCATGACCTTCACGAACTCGCTCTTGTTGCTTCTACTGAAACTAAACCCTCAACCTCTTTAACAAATCCTTCTTCTACGGCTCAGCTCTTATTTAAAGATATTCATAATATCATTACAAACATCTCTACTATTCCAGCGGATCGTGCACACAACACTACACTACACCATACACTTGATGTTTGTATGTATGGTAGTGTTGTGTATGGTACTTCATTAAATGGGGCGGCTGTTGATATTACTATTCTTCAACGTGTGGATCCTTCCATACGGTATTATTTACGATCCTGCAGGAATAACTCTCAACATATTTCACAATTAATGCGTGTAGAGTTAGAAGGCACAGATGTGAGTATTCTTCTTCACTATCCATCCTGTTATTCCATCGCTTTACCACTGTTGAGTTCACGGGAATTATTACGTACACTTGAAAAGGGTTTAACACAACAATTACAGCAGTTTCACTTAAGAGAAGAAGAAAATAATGATAATGATGATGATAGAAAGAGGAAAGGGAATACACTCTTCTTACACTCTGATGTAATGCATATGGATGTGAATATAACGGTGAATCAAAAAGGAGCTATAGAAGCCGCAGAGATGTTAAAGAAATTTCTCAAACAAAATGAGTTTGTACGTCCTGTTATTATTTTCATGAAAGTTGTTTTAAAATTATTTGATGTTCATCCATTGCAAATCACACCGTACGTGGTGACGTTGATGGTTGTTGCCTTCGCCAAGTATTCTTCTCACACGTATCCACTTTTAAGTGCGGCTCACTATCCACATAGACGTGGACTTGTGGAACCCGGTTATTTACTCTTTTCATTTCTTAGTTTTTTTAGTCCACAACCACGAGGACATTTCGATCCACAACTTATGCGTCTCGTACCTTCACATCCGCACGGTATTTTATTGAAAGAAAATAAATATAATGATGACTCAACTGCTGTATTCACAGAAAATACACACAACCACTCTTCTCACATCCTTGGCAACCACAACTACAACCATAATAATAATAATAATAATAATAATAATAATAGTAATAGTAGTTGTAGTAATAGTAGTAACAATAACAGGAGCAGTATTTGGCAAATTATGCATCCTAGTCAATCTGGAGGAAATGCGGCGGAGGGATGTGTGTTAATTCATGAATGTCGTTATTTGTTTGAGCGTATTCTTATTTGTTTACTTCATTATTACGGAGGAGATGTACTCTCTTTACCGTATATACGTGATTCTCAAGCGGGAACACACGATAAACAAGAGGAGGTGGACGCTGTCATGCTAAAGAGTAAATGTCTTCCTACTCACAATGAACTCATATCAGCGTTACTACAGAGACGCTAAATGAAAGAAATAGTTAAAAAAAAAAAAAAGAAAAGGGGGTTGGGGGTGGTTTGATAATGTATTTTTTTTTTTATTTATTTTTTTTTTACTTTTTTGATAATTTCATTATTTTCTTTTTTTTTTTTTTTTTTTTTTTTTTANTTTTTTTTTTTTTTTTTTTTTTTTTTTTATCCTCACAGAAGTGTGCTGTTATACTTTCACATCTTTATGTATAAACGCACACCATGTTGTTAAAATATATATTATGGTTTCTGGGAAAGGTTAAACTATTATATAATTATATATATAATTATTGATTAAAGGATAGGACATTTTACAACATTGTATAGATTATTTTTTTCTTGTGGTTGTGGTTGGGTTTCCCCCTTTTGATGTAATCTTTACTTTTACGAAAAATCGAATGCTTTTTTTTTTTTTTTTTTTCTTTTTTACTTTTTATTTTCTTACTAGTAGTGGTAGTGGTAGGAATAGGAATAGAAGGAATGCAACAGAGTCGTCGGTTGTGTCGTTTATTTCCATACTATCAATCTACTCTATTTATTCGCAGAGCACATGTTGTTTCTACTGCTACTGTAGTTGTACTGTGCCCCTCTCACACCGCATGTTTTACCATTAAACGCTATGAGAGTCATGTTAGTAGTAGTAGTAGTAGTAGTAGTAGTAGTAGTAAAGAGATGCCAATAACATCAAATGATAGTTCAAGTGGGGTTTCTTCTTCTTCTTCTCCCTCTACTTCTAATTCTACTATTACTAGTAGTGTTGGTGATTGTAGTGTATTAAATGAGGGAAACACCAATTGGGATGATACTACAGTGGTAGAAGAGATTAAAGATATTTTGTGTACTCTAAAAACATCTAAGGATGCAGAAGGGCTTCAAACTGAAAAAAATGATACAGTTATCACTTTACATACACTCTTTCGAGCATTAGGACCCACACTGCGGTATCGTTTACAAAACTCTTCTTTTGCTTCACTTGTCAAAGCATTAAAAAGTCGACCCGATTGGTTTCTTCTTAACGCCGATGGTACAACTGTTGAACTCACACAATCAGCATCTAGAGACTGTAATCCCCAAGATATTAATTCCAACACTAACACTCAATCATCATCAACATCAACTACGAGAACATTGGGTAAACGAAACTTAAAGACTGCGGCTGTTCCAACAACGAAGACTTCTGTATTAATTCGCGGGGCGCTTGCGGTCACTCCATTAGATGTCTCCCGGCCTCCCGTTACCGCCGCTGAGGCGGAGAAGTGGCGACTCGCACGACTGCTCTTACCACTCGCATTGCCCTTCTTAATTAAACGAGAGCCCATCACACTCTTCCCACGTAGTGGTGGACGATCATCATCATCACTATCACTATCACTATCACCACCGCCGCCGTTAGCCGCAGAGCTCGAAGAGGCTGAAGAGATGTACAGAAGTAGAGGCTTCTTTCCCCCATCGGAAGTGGCCGCCGCCTTTGTGCATATCACACCAACGTTTTTTGTGGAAACTCGACATGTGTTAAATGCCATGTCTCCAGATGTGGCTCACATCTTTGAACGGCATATTTCACGAGATCATATCGTTGATGCCTTCTTTAAAAAGTATCCCATGATATTTAAACTTAAAGTTGCAAAATTTCAAAAGGCGGCAGTAAAGTTAAATCTTGAATTTGAATTTATTCGTAATCACCCAGGATGTGGACGAGCAGACCGTCTTTTACGTCGATATAATCAAGAATATCGACCTAGAGTAGGTGGTGTTCTCTCTAGGGCAGTTCCTTCAGCTTCTTCTTCTTCTTCCTCCCCCTCTTCTTCTTCTTCGTTATCATCATCGTCATCATTAGAAGAAGAAATGAATGAGAATGGACGACAGATGAAAGTTCACATTGATGTTCAGATATTTGAGATTCTTGTGCGAAACTTACCTCGTGTTGCGACAGACCCAGCATTATCACAACAGGAACTGGAGGAAAAGCGTTGTCAACCTTTTTCTCTAGTAGAATGGATTCATGGCTTCTCTCAAGAAGATTTGGATGTGTTAAACAGTGTTCCTCAGCAACGAACCCTTACATTATTGACCCGTTATACACGTATTTTTCAATTAATGTGTTATGGTGAAGATTCTAACATATTTACTGAACACAAGTATTTAAAAACAAGGAAAAATATAAACAATATAAAATCTTCTAGTAGGAATGAAGTTAGTGAAAGTGTTGGTGGTAGTGGTGGTGGTGCTTCGTTAGATTCTATAGAAGAAGAAGAAGTAGTAGACTCAGAAACTATGATTGATGAGAAAGATACGGGGAATTCCTTGCTTTCACAGGATGAAATAGTTGAAAAAAAAGAAAATAAAGAAGAACTGAAGATACAATCGGTTGAAAATTTATCAAAAGAATCCAATACTGATTTGGAACGTCGTGAGGCTAATTTAGCTGCTGCTTTGCGAGATGATTTGATAGGAATGGATGATTTCCTTAATGACACTACCGGTTCAGCATCATCTTCACCACCACCACCACCGTTAGATGAGGAAGTCAACAGTAGTGAAATGGATGAATCTACAGAGAAACTAAAAGAAATAGATGGAGAAGAGGAAGATGACTCTCTTAATTATGATATGGAGAATGAGGAGAATACTACCACTAATAATACTAATACTAATATGAGAACAATAACACCTATTCATGAGGAACCATCAACATGTGAAGATGATTTTAATGGTTTATATATTCCTTCTCGTTATGATATTTTGTATGTAAGACGTTTACCAAAACATATTGCCGCAAGAAGTTTAAGTGACTATAATGCTCTTAATTCACCTGAACCAGAATTATTACGATATATCGCCTCCTTCCTTAATCCACCTCCATTATATTGGGATAATCCATCTCTGAAAACACGTGGAAAAGATTTTATATTTTCTCGTAAAGCTACAATTGGTCAATGGCGATGGGTTCCTATTCAACGTATTTATGCTTCTCTTAACAAGGAACAAAAACGATTACTTCGACCATATAAAGGACTTGTACATTTTATGCGACTTCATGGTGAAATATTTGAACTTAGTGCAGATTTTCTTCATGTTATTGCACACGATCCACAAGGGAAAATTCCTCCATTTGTTCCAACACAAACTTCTTTTTATACGGAAGATCGCGTTCTCCTTCCATCGACATTAGATGATGATAAAAACTCTAAAGCTTCTCTTATTGGTGATGCTGAACGAAAAAAATTTGAGAGAATTTTAGGAGCTAGTCAAATACCAACAGATAGACAACAACTTATACTACTGGATCCATTAAATCCTCTCTTAAACCATGAAGTTTTATGTGAAGAAGTTTCATTCTTTATGCCAGATCATCCTGTTTCTATACATCAATTAATGTCTCGTTTACCACCCATTTTGAAAGCAGCACTTTCTACACGTCATCGAAATAATTTTAAAACTAGTAAACATTTAACTGTTTGGACAGATAATAATCGAATGATGTTACAAAGAAGTCAATTAGCTTTACCAGAGTCTGCGAAAATGGATGAGGAAGAAATCTCTGTGGAGGATGCTATTGAGTGTATTCGTGAAGTAGTACCAGATGAAGGTGTGGTGATTTCCCATTTAAATCGTATGTTACCAGGTATTGCTAAAAAGACATTAAAGCAACACTTTGGTAATGTTTACAATGCTTTGCTTGGATATCCACAGTACTTTTATGTTGAGAAATCTGAAGGAGATCGCTACAATAGTGTAGTCTTTCTTGTGGAACGCTTACAAGAGGAACGGTAATTATATATATATATATATATATATATATATATATGGATTTATCCACTTGGGAAATGAGGAAGGATGTCTTGTCATCTTATTTTCATATTTCCTGTGTTTTGTGTTTTGTGTTTGTTTGTTTTTGTTGTTTCTTTCTCTGTGGCTGTCTTAACCTTAAATATACATATGTGGACTACTATGACTGAACAGCTCGTTTTGAAGTTCTATAGAAATCCATTATTGTTATTATTATTATTATTATTTTTTTTTTCTCTTTCTATTGTATATATGTATATGTATTCTATTTCTTTCTGTTTTCTTTTCTTTTCTTTTTTTCTTCTCTCTCTTCTATGTTGAACCGCAGCACCTCTCTAATGACGGTAGCACATGATAAGACAGTTGGAGTCTCTTATGTATCTCTGCGTGAAGTACCACAAGAGGCGGTGACGTTGTTTCCCTTCTTAACATACCGCCCACGTGCGGCCCTTATTCCCCGCGTGTATGCCGCCTCGCTGGGATTACAATATACACAAGTGGAAACAGCGAATAATAATAATAATAATAATAATAATAATAATAATAATAATAATAATAATAATAATAAGATTGTATCTTGTATAGATGCAGACTTTGAGCCACAATCTTGTTTTGTGATTGTGGGATACAGAGGATTACTCTGTGGACCTGCAAGAACACATAGTAACGAACTTAATCCATCTATTCCAAGTAATTTCCATTTATTATGTAATGATAATGATAATGAACGATATACTTCGATATCTGAAATGGAAGATCCATTATGGAATTCATTATTATTACCATTTCAATACGATTGTAAATGGACTACAGCTCTAGGCGCATTGTGTGGAGTTTACACCGTAAAAGGAGATCCAACGTGGTTTCTTTTTGTAACTCACAATTCACAAGAAGAAAAGGAAGAATGTGAAGATATGATATTAAATGTGAGAATTATACGTATATTAGTTGTAGAAGAGGCACGATGTGTACAGAAAGTCATTTTCACTTTATTACGTCATCATCTCGGTGAGAAGGAAATGATGAAGAAAAAGTTATATCATACACTTTCTACAGTAAAGGAACTTTTCTTCACTGCCAGACAATTCACATCTTTACAGAAACAGAAGAATACATGTAATTCTTCACTCGCATCTTCTTTCACACGAGAAGAGTACGTGCAATTAGCAGAGAGAATGATATCAAAACAATTAGCATCTGTTCTTAATAGTACAGTACCCATAGTTGCCCAACTCCCAAACTCTATTCATAAGGATTACCCAAATGATATACCACTACTACATAAAGGAATGGAGAACTCTGAAGAAGAAAAAGAAGTAAAAACATGTAAAGATGATGTTGATAATGATGTTAATAGGATGATGATTAGACTTTCACCACCACTACAAAATGCGTTGTTAACTCTACGTGAGGAATTACGGCAAAGACGTTTATACCTTGAAGAACAGCAGAAAGAGTATGATACTCTGCTGGAAACAAGGCAAAAAAGAGAAGAACGACACCGTGATCTTTTAGAAAAACTAAAAAAGGTACGAACCCAACAAGAGACAATAACAGAAGAAAGTAATGAACTCATGACTAGACTCGTAGAGGCGGAACATAAATGTAGTGAAATGGCAGAGCAGCGAGAAAAAGAACGATTGGAAGAGGAACAACGATTACGTGAAACCGAGAAAAAATTCGAAAAAATTATTGAGGATAATTTACGAGAATTAGATCTATTACGTCTGGAGAAACTACAAAGCGAGGAAGAGGCCATACGAGGGGAATTAATACAGAAAGAGTCTCTGCAAAGAATGCAATGTGAACATTCCGTATTAATCCCACAGGTGGAGTTGCTGAATAAAGAGTTAACGGCATTACTGCAGACTCAACGAAAGACTGAAAAGATAAAATCCCTTCGCCGCCATCCACACACATCTACTATCCCTATGATCTCTTCAACGATCACTACTGTAAGTAATATGAATAACGATGCGAAGGAGAAGGAAGAGAGACGCCGGGCATTAAATGAGGCCCGTGCGGAGAATGCGGCGCTGTGCAAATTGCTGGAATCGCAACAGCGGGAGAAAAACACGGCGATGGCACTCACCGCCGAACACACCGCCGCGCTGCGCCGAACAGTTGCGGAAATTGACGCACTGGAAAAACTGCAGGCCGTGCGGGTTGTGGAGTTGGAGGCCCTCGTCGCCACCACAGCCGCACTGCGAGCAGCCAAAGAGAAGTGCAATGAAATAACAACAACAACAACAAGAAGAGGAAGAAGAAAAGAAGAAGAAATAGTGGCGAGAACAGAAGGAAACACATCAGCCACACGGTTACTTTTGCAACAGCAACGTACAAGAAGATTGATGCAATCCAAAGAGGAGACAGCAACGCTATTGCGAAGACTGAAGGGGAATCTTGAGATGTGAGAAGAGGAGTTTGCTCAGTTAGTAAAAAAAAAGTGTATATCTATGTGTATGAGGGAGTTTATTTTATTATTATTATTATTATTATTATTATTATTATTATTATTATTATCGTTATCGTTTTTATTTTTTATTTTTTTTTTTCGAGAATGAGTGAAATGTGTTTACGTATGAATCCATTCCTTAGTATTATATTATTGCATGAGTAAGGAGTTTTTTTTTTTTTTTCTCTTTATGGATCCTTTATATATATATATAGCACTGTAATTCCTTCTTGTTATCCTTGTTTATTTTTTTTTTCTTTTCTTATTTTTTTACAATATATACCCCCTATTATTGTTATAAACATATATATAAATATAAATATATAAGTGCTGTATGAGACGGACACTAAACCCCAATGCGGGGGAGTTCCATCCCAACAACAATAGTGGAGGAAACACAGGAAGCGGCACTACTACAATCAGCAATGCCAATTCTAATCCCAATCCCAATACGAATACAAATATGAATATCAACTTCAATCATACGAATAGTAACAACAGTGTCGAGTCAAATTACTTTATGCCCGTCACGCGGAGTTTGATGGAATTCCGCGTGGCCTTTTTTCGCCATTCGGGTTCCATGAGTTTAATGCGGCATGTGGAGTTTGAGCGGCTGCTGCGGCGTTGTTTCTTCGCAGCTCACAACCGTAATGGACTGAGTGTATCATCGTCTACTGTGTGTGATCGCTGCAAGCCGTTTTGGTTGTCCTTCTCACCGGCGTATTTGCAGTTGGCGCGGGAAGTGGTGCTGGAGATTGAATTGGGCATCGTCAGTCAGTCAACAACAACAACAACAACAGGAACTACCACTACTACTAAGAGTACTGCTGATAGTGTTAATAGTAATAGTAATAGTAATAGTGGTAATCCTCGTCAAGCGAATGGTTCTCATAATAATGGGAATATTCCACGAGAAGAGAAAAAAGAGAAGGAGGGGGAAGAAATGGAAACAGGGAAAACAAGTCTTGAGGCACAGGAGATGTTGCTAAAACGTGAACAGCTTCGCGAAGTATATCTGTTGTCCATTAGACCATTAATTCCATGTTTATTGCTTAAAGAACTGGCAAACTGTACGAAGCGTAGTAATAGTGTATGTAGTGATAATATAAAAGATGCCATGATGTACGCTCTTGATGTATTTTTTCTCTTTACACGCATACAATTTCTTCCATTTCTTGATACCTCTACAGTGACGAGTTACTCTGCATGTGTTCAATACATTACTAGACTTCGTGAACGTCTTCTTCGCCCAGATGTCGCAGAACCCTTTTTAAATCTCGTGCTTGTATTGATGTTACTTTCCTCTATTCATCAATCTTCAATGTCATGTGCAATGGAAATCAATACTACTACTACTACTACTACTCCTACAAAGAATAAGGGTAACAGTAAGGTGAGTAATGTGAAGAGTAATGAAAATGAAGAAGAAGGATTATCTCATAAGGTACAGTGGTTGTTTTGTCGGTATTTCCCTGCATTAGTAGTGTCATTTCTTGCAGTTTCACCATTGCAATCTGTGGAAGAATTACGAAATTGCTTTACTGCTAATAACGTAGATGATTGTTTACCAGTTTTACGCTCCTCTCCTAGAGGAGTTGCCGCTATTCGTGAACTCTTTTCATATGATAGTAAAAGTGCCATATTGTGGAATAAAACATTAACAGAAGTAATATCGTTTGCAATGCGTCATTTGGATGGAGAAGATCATAATAGTGTTGGTTTTCATAATAATATGAATGAGTTGTTTCTACTCACCAAGTATACAGCACTGGATGATCACATGCATGTGAATTACCCTACAGTATTAAACTGTTTATTGAATTTAACCGACAATGTAACTGAAGCATCTCATCTTTCCCATCTTCATCATCAACATCAACATCAACATCAACCACATCAACATCAACAATCACATCATGAATATCAATGTCAACAAAAACATTATCGTGTACAAAGTTTACGTTCTGAAGAATTTCACCGAATGGCGATGCGGGCGGCGGCGGGATCCACCGGCGGTGAATACGACACGGTGTACTTCAGTCTAATGGCGCTTGTCAACATGGAGTGTTTTCCCGCCGCGGAACTCTCCCGTCTCTTTTCCACACTTGCAGACGCCTACGGCTGTTGTTGTCCTTATTACAATTACACTTCCACCTGTTGTTGTTGTTGCGATGGATTTAATGATTTTCTCGCCTCGCCGGTTTGTGCGGCCCTGCGACCCGCCGCTCGGGAGTTGTTGGATGTGTTGTATGCACTTACACCGAATAACAACCGCAGTGGGAGCAGCAGTCTGAACAACAGCAGCAATAGCAACAGTGATCACAGTAAGAGAAGTGAACACCTGCAGGCACTGCGGGAAGTGGAGGAGATGTTGTTTCTCTTGCCGCAGCCTTCACAGGCATGAAGGGAAAGCCCAAAGAGAAAAGAGAGAAAAAAAAAAGATAATGGATGGTTGAAATCGGAGATTCAGTGATAAATAAGAAAAAGAGGAAGAGAGAAAAAAGAGATGGGAATCAAAAAGAATATATATATATATATATATATGGAAGAATAGACAAAAGCAATGAATCGTAGCCAGGTTCTTCTTTTTTCTAAAAAAAAAAAAAAAAAAAAAAAAAAAAATCACAGTGAACCAAAACAAAAACAAAACAAAAGTTGAATGAATAATTTAAGAGGAGCAAAGAAAAAAGGGAAAATACTGCAAAAGAGAAAATGGAAGAGATAATTAGACACCATGAGGATAAAGAAAAAGAAAAGAAAGAAAGAAAGAAAAATGAGATGTGAAGAAAGAACTCTTGGGTCTCTACTGGAAAAGAAGAAGAAGAAGAAGAGGGAAGAGAGAAAAATCAACAAAATCTTTCATTTTTTTTTTTTTTTTGTTTTTCTCATTTCCCTCCTTTTTTCTTTTTCTTTCATTATTGGATTAAAAAAAGAATATGTGGATATTCGAATAAATACATCACTAGTGGAGAAGAAAAAGAAAAAACGAAAAAAAAAAACAAAAAAATAAAATAAAAACTATTTCAGATATATATATATATATATATGTATATATATATATATATACAATATCTACTTTATTTGGTTTGTTGAGAATATAATGAAATGAATAATGTACTATTTTTCCTCCCCATTGTTTGTTTGTTTCTTTTTCTCTACCGTTTTTTTCTTTGTTGTTGTTGTTTTCTTTTCTTTTCTTTTCTTCTTTATATCCTCCTTTTTCTTAATAGCATTTTGCAAATATGGAATATTTTAAATTGGGGTGTATTTAATTTCTGTTTTTTTTTCTTTTTTATATATTTCCCGTTGTTTTTTTTTTTTTTTCTTTGGATTAATGAAAGAGAAAGTAAGAATAAAAACTTCCGTAGTTTCTCAGCACATAAAGTGTGCTAATCTTTCTCTTTCTCTATTGTTATTCTAATCGTTTTTTTTTTTCTTTTTTGGGGTTTCTTTTTCTTTTTCTTACTATCTGTACGTGGTGTATTAATGCCTCTCTTGCTTTTTCACTCCACATACACTTTTATATATATATATATACATCCCCATCCACACTTTTTTTTTTCTTTTGCATCTCCACTTATATTCACTCACTCACTCACTTGTTCACTTTCACATATTTGACTCACGTACTACATACATGTGCACATTCATTCACACAAACACTAACATACACAAACAGACACATAATGTATATATATATATATATATATATATATATATATATATAGACATATGTATGTATGTATGTATATGTATACAACAGAATCACTCATCTGATCCAAATTTTTATTCACATATTTACATTACGTCTCAACTCTCTGAGGATATGAGTAACGTAACACTTCTTTTGAAGAAAATAAAGGCAAAAACAATGAAACTGCAAGAAGAAAAAAGAAAGAAAGAAAGTAAAAAAAAAACCGGAAAACGGACTGAAAAAAAAGGCATATTGTGGATTTAATGTATGCCTACTTCAAAAGCAATTTTTTTTGCCTTTAGTGCGTATTTCCGTGGGTTTTTATTATTTGCATATATATATATATATATAATATATATTGGGTTGATCAATGGAGGAAAGAAAGAAGGAAGACAAAAAAAGAAATAAGGAAAGAAAGGGCATGATATGTCACTCTCTTTTTACTTTCTTTTTTGTTTTGCTGGTCCTTACCTCTGAATGTCTCATGCTTTTTTTCTTCTTTGTTTTTTTTTTATCATTTTTATTTGTTTTTTTTTTGTTTGTTTGGGCTTTGCTCTTTTTATTATTATTATTATTATTATTTCTCTCTCTCTCTCTGTTTGTTTATTTATTTTTTCTCTTCATATTCTCTCTACTGCGAAAAAGCTCATCTCCAGGTTAGAGGAGGAAGAGTCCATTCCTTTTTATTCATTCACACAGTACATTTATAGTAGAAACAAAAACAAAAAAAAAAAAAACCAAAAGGAGAAGAGGAATTGAATTCATAAAGCAAACAAAACCACGAAATAAAAGGAGAAAGAGAGAGAGAAAAAAAAAGAAAAGAAAATAAAGAGAAGGAAAAGAAAAAAAAGAGTAGAATCTATGCCACCCAAACTTAAACCGCTTCCACACAAGCCTAATATTTTACCACCACCTATGAGTAATGATGATGATATTAGATTAGGCAATATTCGTGTGGATCAAAACGGTGTGGTGTTCACCGGTGGAGGGGATTTACACGTTCTTCGGCAGGATCTCTCACTGGACTCACTGAAAGAAGTTCAGTGTCTTGGGAAGGGCACGCAGGGAAATGTAAGTAAGTATATCAACACAAAGGATAATGCGGTGTATGCGGTGAAGCGGCTTTATATTCCAAGTACATCCGATAGGACAAATAAACAAACCGTGGCAGGGGAGTTGCGTAATATTATTTGTAAAGAGGCAAATGCATATACAGTGGAATTATATAATGCCTTCTATCGTGAGGGAACACTTTGGCTTGTTATGGAATATATGGATTGGGGAAATTTAGAAGAACTTATTAATATATCTCCCGTTATTCCAGAAGCTGCAAGTGCCTATATTGCCTCACAGATTTTACATGCTTTGAAAATTTTACACACCAAATCTAATCATCATACAGAAGGTGATCAAAAAAGTAGACGTCAAATTCATCGTGATATTAAACCAGCAAATGTGATGCTTTCTTTTGATGGAACTGTAAAGTTAACAGATTTTGGAATTGCCACTAGTGCAGAAACTATTGGTGTAAATTCTTTTATAGGGACTGCTACTTATATGAGTCCAGAGCGTATTCAAGGACGAACGTATAGTACTCCAAGCGATATATGGAGTGTAGGGGTTTTAATTGCCCAACTACTACTGGGACGATTTCCCTTTCCTTCGGCTGAAAAGGGATTTATGGCACTTCTGCGAGAAGTGACGGAGTGTGAGTCACTCCCAATAATGTCGGAGTCCTCCTGTTCGCAGGCGGCGGAGGATTTTATTAATCATTGTCTTCGTCAGAAACCAGAGGAGCGCAGTACGGCGGCGGAGTTGTTGGAGCATGAGTGGATTGTTCATAATGCTTCAAAGGGAAAGGCGATTCTGACGGAATTACTGAATGAGTTGGGAGAACGTCTCCCTCCTAATTCTCCAAGTCCGTGTAGATAAAGTATGTTTGGATCATTCTTTTTTGTTCATTTCTTTTTTTTTTTTTTTTGTTTTTGTTTTTGTATTTACTCTATTTTCTATCTTTTTATTTTCCTAATTCTACACAGTCGTATCGTAGAAAAGGAGGAAGAAAAATATAAAAAAAAAAAAGAAAAGAAAAAAAATCGTTAAATAGGAGTGGAATTCGAATTGATTAAGGAGCAAATACATTGTGTTAAATATATAGAAGAAGAAAGAGTATAATATGTGGGAAATATAAAGAAAGAAAAAGAGTTGGGCTTTTTGTCTGTATTTATATGATTTCTTGAGTAAATGATTTCTTTTCTCTTTGAACTACTGTGTATATAAATAACCAGAGATACAAAAAGTAAAAGAAAAAGGTTTTTTTTTTTTTGTTATCTTTTTTTTTTCCTCTTATTCTTCTATTCAACCTTTTTCCTCAAATCATATTTTTGCTATTGACGTGGAATATTCCCCAATAGATCTTGCATTTGTTTTATTATTATTGTTACTATTATTATTATTATTGTTAGTATTGTTATTATTATTAGTATTGTTATTATTATTATTATTATTATTGTGATTGTTATTATTTATGTATTTATTTTATTTTTTTCCGTTTCTCGTGTTGAAGTTGTAGGACAGAGAGAAACCGTAGTGGTAATACTAACTACACACACAGAAAGAAAAAGGAAAAAAAAAAAAGTAAAAAAAAAGAAAAAAAGAAGAAAGGGAAAAAAACTAAGAATATACAAAAAAAAAAAGGAATGCACCGTGTAGATCCTTTCTTAGCTTCTTCTTCCCATGATGTGAAGTCAAAGGAGAGTTTTGTGAATACCGTTCCATTAGATGCCGAGGTGGCCCTCGCCACACTAGTACCAGTTAAATCTAAGGAATCTCCACAAGAAATGACAAGTCGCCCCATGCAGTCCTCCTATCGATCACGGCTCTGCAGTGGATTTCCCTCCACGCTGGGAGGAACTGTTCCTCGGGGATCTTTCATGCGGGCAACTCGCGGGGAACGTCAAATCATGGAGCCCATACGAATGCTGCACAACTGCATTCGCTACTTTGCAAGTCATCCGGAGGTGTATGGAACCAATATTCGAGCTTTACTAGATCGTGAACTTATGTATGTAATGCGTGTGAAGGCCTCTGAAACGGCTTTACTCATGCCGGGTGCTGTTCCTGTGGCCGATACACCACTTCCTCCAATAGGCGCAACGCGTGGGAAAAGTCAAAAACTTCAACATCCCGCGTTAAGTAAATGTGGGGGATGGATGGTTTCTCCACGAACTGTAGATGCGGCGGTGTCTGTGGGGGGTGGAATTGGCGGTGAAGGGATGTTTGGATTTGGGGGAACTTCCTTTGTGGAGGCCACACCGGGATTTCTCTCTCTACTGGATAAGGCGAGTAGACGAATGAATGTTCCTGAGGAGTTATTTCACTCAGATGAATATGAAGAAGGAGGAGAAAAACTGTTTTTACCCGTTTCTTCTCCTACCGGGGTGAATGCTAGTGGAAATACCTTAATGGATAAGAGTGAACCATTACTGGATGTTGCCCGTCCACAGGAGAGTTCACGGCATCGTGTGGTTTCTGTGGATGAACCGCATAGTGTTCATACCTCTAATGCAGTAGAGTCCAATACGAAAATTCTTATTGATGGAGCCAGTTATGAAATATCTTTTTTGCGAAGTCAATTACAACAAGTAGAAGCAGCCTTTAACGCCAAGTGTATTCATTTACATGAGTTACAAAATGAAAATAATATTCAAAAAGCGGAATTACAATCTACGGAGAAAAAATTACAACAATGTACAGCAAAGAATCAAGAATTACAATTTCATATGGAAAATATGAGACGTGAATTGGATGCATGGAAACAACGAGCCAGTGAACTTAATCTTCATCAAGTTAATGCCTCACAAAGTTCTGGAAATGTTTCTCGTCGTTTAGAAGCTATGCAGTTTGGTGAAGCGAAACGAGAATTGGCACATTTATCTAAACTATGGCGAGAAACTGAAAAATCTCTACAAGAGACAAGACGTTCATTAGAAAGTGCTGAAAAAGAAGCTGAAGTATCCCATAAATATCTTGAAGATGCATTTACTCTTATTGAACGATTGGAAAGACGTAATACTCGACGTGATAAATTTATTGAATCTCAAAGACGACTTTTGGTTTCTTTAGAAGAAAAATATGAAAAACTTATGTGGTGTGTACAGGAATTACAAACAATGAAAGGTTTACAATCATATGTAGATTTTCTTTTATCAGAAAATCCTGTTTGGTCATTATTCCTATTTGTACGATTACAACGTCGATTAATAGGATTTGCACAATTTGATGAACCTCTTCCTAATTCTCCAGGACCTCTTTACTTTCGACGTACACCTTGTGGAGGTAAATTATTAGATGCCTACAGTCCGAAATTAGTTTACAGATTAATGATGGATCATATATCGGGAAGAGTAAAAACTGCAGAGAGTAAATTTCAAGTACAATTTGGAATTCCCATTCCAAGATGGAGAGCTACCTATCTGATTGATTATATTGGAGGCCATATCAATAAACCTACCAATAATGATGATGGAGATGGTAATAATAATAATAATAATAATCATGATAATAATGGTAATAATAACAATAATGATGGGAATGATAATAATTACAACAAATACAGTGATGATCATTTGGAAGGAAGTGAGAGAAAACGTCGTAATCTTCCTATTCTCACATTAACCTCTCTTCTATTACCTCAACAAAATGAACACGTTGCAGGAGATGTAGAAATAGTGGATGATATACCAAACACTGCACAGTATGATCAAGCTACTATACGACTTTTATTGTATTGTTTCTGGAGTGAACGATTTATGCAGTACAAACGAGAAACAGAGAAACGTTTAAAAACAGCAAGAGAAACAAGAGCTGCACTTGCTGAAAATGGTATTGAAAGTTCTGAATCCAAAACCGATAGTTCTAATGCTTTTAATCGTCCAACAACCTTTATAGCTGCATTAGTAGATTTTGTACGACATTTATACCCATCTCCTTCAGAAGCAAAAGCAAAAGAAGAAATAAACTCCACTTTAAAAAAGACAGTGGTAAGAGGAATATCTGTAAGGAATTCAAATATGCGAGAAAATCTACGAGTGTACTTTTCTTCTATTGTTCAGATTACAGAAGATGGAACAGAAACACCTGTTACACTTTCACCTCAAGCACGTGAACTTCTTTATGCCATGTATTATTTTGCAGAAGAATATAAAGAAGTGGATTCTGATTATCGACTTTTTTATCTTGTGGCTTTTCAACAAATACCAGAAATTGTAGCCATAAACTTCTATGCCAGTATGGAAGCACTACGTAAAGGATGTGATGAAGCTTTATATCGTTTACTTGGGGCAAACCCTTCAGATCATGTAGAGAAAGATACTGCAAATCCAAGTAGAGTATATTCTCCTAAATCCATGAGTACGGTTGGTAATGTTAATATGAGGAAAGTACATCCAGATGATGCTCCTGCTGATGTATTAAAAAAGGCTGTTGAAATGATTGATACAGCTCCTTTAGATCAGGAAGGTGTTTCTATGGAACCTGATAGTGATGGAGAGGGATTTGGTCTTATCTTACCTGGAAGACGTTCAGTTGTTGTTGTGGGAAGCCCAACAGCTAATCCAGAGGCGGAAACAACAGAAGTGTATACTAGTCCTCAAAAGATGAAACATAATATACGAGAATATTTGTTTTCATCAGAAAAAAGTAATACAATAAGTCCTACAAATACTAAAAAAGGGGAAAGTCAAGTGATAGATTCAAAAACGACAAAGAATAATAATAATAATGATGATGATGAGAGTAAAGAAATACCAACAGCATGGGTTAGTCTTAATGATCGTCTTGCAACTATGCTTGGTCCACATTCTTCCCTCTTGAAATCGTTAAAAGAATCTAAAAATGTAAATTTTTCAAAAATACAAAGTCGTAAACGTCAACAATTTGGAAAAGATTCTGTTTCTCTTTCTGCTGCACGTGGACTTTTACCTATTGAAGAGGTTTTAGCATTAGTCCATAAACATTGTTTTACCACATATGCTGTTTCCTGTTGTGGTGGAGCTTACCTCTCACTTGTTGAAACCTTAATACCTCCTAGTAATGATGATGTTACTGAAATTGCTGAACTTGATCCTTTAACACCTATTGGACAAATTCCACCAACGGAAATGCATATTAAACGTTTACGATTTGCGATTGCATTGGATCAACCATCTTCGTTAGTACGTTTTTCAGATCTTTTTAATGTAGATACTAGATATGGTACACCTTCACATTTTCATGATGAATATCTCCGACTTACATTAGATACCTATCTTGAACAACAGGAAACTTGGATGGGAATTGTACTAAGTTCTGTTGCGAACCAATATGAAAGTGAAGAAAAAGAAAATGTAGAAGATTCTGATGGTAGTATTTCTTTCCCAGTTCTTCGTATGAAATTTGCAAATGAACTTCGTCATATTTCTTTGGGATTTGAACAGAGTAATATTTTTGCGAAGCATTTCCTTAATTATAGTAATTTACTCTATCATGAAGAAGATATTCGTCATGAACAGTTTGTAGATGCCCCATTCTTTTTCAATTCTCCTTCACTCACACGAGATGAGTTGGATGAAGATATCCTATTAATGCAAGAACGACGATGGCCTATTGAAGATGAAGCTTCCTCATGTTCACTGTTGTATCTATCCTTAGCAGTTCGAATGACTTATGTTGTGTGGGGATTTGAAGCCACTCCTGCCGCTCGTCTTTCGGTATCCTTATTACCATCTGAAAGACTTCGTCTGATGTGTTTGCCTGAACAGGATAAGGAAACGAAGAATGCAAGAGAACGGAATTTTCTGAGAGAGATGAAACGTGATTTTAATGATGCCTTACGACGTATGAAGACAGGACAAACACAACATAATGAATTACGACGATTACTTTTGGAAGATATGGGCATTGCCCCATTTTCACCTCGTGAAACCAATGTTGTTAAATTTCCATTAATGTCGAAAGAAGTCTCTATCTCAGCATTTGGAAGTGATACATCTATTGATATTCATCGCCTCTATGCTCCTTGGGAGAATGAACAGCAGCAGTTTCAACAAACGCAGAGTGATCGTGGAAGTGCGGCCCGTTCAGGAAGACGATCGCGATCACGAAGACGATCTGTAAGACCTGAAACTCCTCGTATGGATATAGCCACAACAGATGCGGTGTATTTCCCTGAAACTGTATCCCTACTACGTTTTCTTGGTTTAGGTCGTGTGAATAAAACGAAATCCGACAAGAAAAAGAAACGAGTGGAAAATGCAAAAGGCATGTCTGATGTACAAAACGCATTACTGGGAACATGTCTCATGAATGAGTCTTTATTTATATCGCATCAAACAGAAATGGCTAAACTTATTTCCCAAGCTTCCAAGATGCCGCCTACCATTATAGCATCCCCTGGTAGACTCTCCATGGCGGAGAATCCTCATCCTGAGCCTCCTGAGATGGCGGAGTCCTCCACGTGGCCCGCAGGAACAGCATCAGGAGGAGGAGTTGAAGGACATCACGATAATATGAGCATGGCGGCTGAGAGTATTTTTCCACGGGACTCGACTGCACAGCCCTTTTCGGGATTACCGCAAGTGTTGGACGACGAGGACGATGAGAGAGTGGAGGAGCCGCAGCCGCAGAATGTCGATCCCACCGCAGGCGTGTTGGACTCTCTTCCCATACGAATGGTGTATGCCGGATGTGCTGCACTCAGTTTGATGTAAACAAAGAAAAGAAAAGAAAAAGAAAAAGAAAAAGAAAAGGAAAAAAAATAATGAAATTGGAACAATGAAAAACAGACAACAAAAGGACGAAAAAGAAGTAATGGAGAAATATTTTTGGAATCGATAATGAAGAAAAAGATGTTCGAGGTTTAAAAGAATATATTCTTCTTTACTCTTGAACAAAATATGTATAGGATGACTCACATACATGAGTACCCTTTTCCCTCTTTTTTTTTTTATGTTTTTTTTTTTTTCCTTCTCTCTCAGCATATGTACTTTGAATCTTTGATGTGAATATTTGCTGTATTTTTTTTTTTTTTTTTGTTTTTATTGCGAAAGAAACTAACACCTTTTCTTTAGGGACTGTTCCTCCAAGACAGTCTGAGAAAAGCGAGAATGAAGAAAGAAAAAAAAAAAAAAACGGACCTTTATTCTTAAGGATCATTATTGTAGATAGGTACAGAAAGAGAGAAAAGAGAAAGAAAATTTTTTGATTGTTATTGCTGAATGTTCTTCTTAATGTTATCACTTTTTTTTTTCTTGTGTCCTTTGCTAGTTATTCCTATGTTTCATTTTTCTGTTTTTTTTTTTCTTTGTTTTTTTTTCTGTTTATTTGAATTTTTCTATCTAAAAAAAGAAAAAAAAAATAATTTCTGTACGAGTTGGAGAAAATAATATTTCTTTATAATGAATAAGTGATTTGTGATATGTCTATTATTATTATTATTTTTTCTCTCTCTCCCTTATTTTTTTTCTCTTTCCCAGTGGCAAGGGTATAAACTCTGAAACCATCAAGGTCAAGACTAACAAGGAGGTTTATAAAGAAAATAAAACAGAAGAAATACGAAGAACGGTGAAAGTAAAATAAAAAATAAAAGAAAAAGGGTATAAAGAAGAACGATACAAGAAAAAAAGAAAAATAAATTACTATACTAATAATAATAAAAAGATGAGTACTGCTGACGAGATCGTGAATCGCCGTCTAGCTATTGATCTTGCTCCATGTGATGAACGTGTCTCTATATTTACTTCGATTAAACGTTTCTTCTTAGATCGAAAGAGAGTACATTTACAAATACGTGCTTTTCTCAAACTCACGCTTGCAGATGCTCGATCTTCTAAAGCGACGTACGCTTTAAATTTTCTTGCTGTTTTTTTTGTGGTGTTTTTCTGTGTTGTTATGATGTCTACTTTATTTAATTTACCTGTTCTCTTCCTTCGCCTGGGAGAGGCAAAGGATGGACAAAATGATCTTGTTATTACCCCTGGAGGAGAAATAAAATCTGCCGCTTCATTTAATTATTCCGTTATTGAAGATATATTTCCTGAAACTGATACTTCACGTGGTTATCATGCACCTCGTATAAAGTTCACATCGGAAATTATTAATTTCGCAACTTGTGAAGGAGTGGAGAACCCAACAGATTTGTGGTTGGATAAAGACGGGAAAGTTTGTCCAGATGGATGTATATATGATAAGTGTAATGCCGGTTTGGTTCGTCAGATACTTTTGGCTATTAATCAGGAAAAAGAATACCGAATGGGATTTGGTTCTCAATGGAAAGCCCCAGAAATTGGAAAAGGAGAAGTGATCCTTTCTAAAAGTGTGGCTATTGCTGCTAATGATACAAAGGTAGGAGATACAGTTTTACTTTATGTAGATGTTGGGACAGTCCTTAGAGAAGTCTTTAGACATGTTCATATAAGTTCTAGAAAAAGGAAACCAACGATAATGCCAATGAAAGTTGTAGGAATTGTAAGTTCCGATACAACTAAATTTAATGTTGAAGATTTTGTGGTAATGAATTATAATTATACACTTGAATCGGTTGCAGAAGGTTTAGATCCAAATGTTGCGAGTTGGGATCGAGAAGCAATTGCTAATATGGATCCAAGGTGTTGTGCGACAACGGTTCATTTTAATATGAATCCAAATGTACGAGTAGATATGTATAAAAGTACAGATTATGAAGTTATTCGAAGACGTGTTTCTTCATGGGTTTCTAGTATTGTGTATCCTTTAGGATTTAATCAATTATCAGTGGATACACCTATTATTGGATTTTTACACAGTGTAAGATTTTTTTCACTATTTGTAGGACTTATTGTATCTCTCATTTTATTAGGTTTGGCTTTTTTAAGTCTTATACTTATATATTCACTTCTTAATTTAAGTGTAGAGAGACGTATTCATGAGACTGGAATAAGAAGAATGATTGGTTTTTCACGAGAAAATTTGGTACTTATGTTATTAACAAATGTTTATTTCTTTACCATACCTGCTTGGATTGCAGGACTTGTTGTAGGACAATTGGCTTATTTAGGTTTACGTACTATTATTAGTGATCTCATTTATGTTAAATTACCTGTTTTAATACCAGGAAGTTCTATTGGATGGGCAACTTTTGCCGGTTTATCACTTCCCCTTATTGGAGCTATTTTTCCTCTTTTATCTCTTTTATCCAATAATCTTTCAGAAGCTTTGAGTACGACTCGTGGACGAAATGTTGGGGTAAAGTATAAAATTGTTCGAGCCTCAGATGCAAATAGAATAAATTATAGACTTCTTTTTATAGGATTTGCATTTGCTATTTTTGGTTTTTTACTTTATTACTTTTTCCCTATTGCGATGGTACAAATGCAATTGAATTTATTATTCATCATTTTCTTTGGTATTTTAATTGGAATGCTTACGGGATTAGTTATGTTAGCTCTTAATTTTGAGTGTGTCTTACAGACTTGCGTATTATACTTGTTTTTCTTCTGGGAAAAATATGCGGTTTTTAACGCTGTTCATAAATTTCTAACCTCACACCGAAGAAGAAATCGTAAAACTACTATGATTTATGCATTTTCCCTTGGATTTACTATATTTATTGCTATTGCCTTTCAAGTTCAATTAAAATCATTTCATTACGGTACTCAACAAGAAATGGGAGCTGAAGTCACAATAACTCTAGATACTTTTGATTTAATTGGTCTTGGTAAGATGGCATTATATATTAGACAATCTATACCCGAGGTTAAAGAAATAACTTATGTGGCTCGTAGTATTATACTTAATTTACCTATACAAAATGTTACCTTATCTTCACCAGGTCGATATAGTGTAGTTGAAACCAATGGTCTTCGTGCAGTTCCACCTAATTATTTAGAAGTTCTTAATAAAGAATTTTTACATGTTTATAAATATGATAAATTAAGTGGACAATATTCTATTTCTGGTTCTCTTTATACAGGTCCAAGAAATCGAGTTATTATCTCAACTTCAGCTTATAATGCGCTTCATTGTGAATCTATTGAAGATCCAATATTACTTGTTACTGCGTTAATAAAAAATTATAGTATTCATTTGGCAAAAAAAATACGTTTTTATATTAAACCATCTGCAGTATTAAGTAGTATTTCTCAAGTTTCAATGTCTGATTTTAAAAATACAAATATAGATTTGTTAGCTTCATATCCTGTAGCTGCACGTTTTACTGGAATAGATTTTTTAGGTATTCGTGGTATTGCAGTGGAATCCGTAAGTCTTCGTATACCTAATCCTAAAGATGTTATTCCTGTTTCTCTAGAAATGAAAAAATATTTAAGACATAATGGTTTAGAAAAATCTAATGTTCGTGATGATGCAACTGTTTTAACATATTTAGCTTTAGCTGATCGTACTATTGGTTTTTTCTTTACTTTTACAGAAATAGTAACACTACTTATATGTTTTTCTTCCCTTTTTGGTAGTATGAGTGCAAATGTATTGGAATCTTCTAAAGAGATTGGTATTTACCGTTGTATTGGTATGACTAAACCTCAAATATACCGAATATTTATCTGGGAAGCTTTTGTTCTCGTTATTGTTGGTAGTATTATGGGTGTTATTATTGGAATGATTGTGGGTTATAGTATGCAACTTCAAAATCATCTCTTTACACAATTACATTTGCCTTTTTCGTTTCCTTACGTACAACTGATTATTGTTTTTGGTACGGCTGTGGGAGCAGCTGTTGCGGCCAGTTTTGGTCCAGTGTCCTTTCTGATGCGTCTTCCATCTATTACTCATATACTTCGTCGTATTCTTTAATTTTCTTTTTTTTTTTTTGTTTATGTTTATTTATCTTGAAAAGAATGATGTACTTTGTTTTGATTATGTTTTCTTTTACTTATCTTCTTTTTCAAGTTGTTTTTGGCTTTTTCAGTATTACAGGAATTATGGTAACGTCATGGTATTATTATTATTATTATTATTATTATTATTATTATTATTATTATTATTATTATTATTATTATTATTATTAAACTATATATCCCCATTCATTGGATGTTGTTTTCTTCTTATAAATAAATAATTTCTTCTTTTTCTTTTTTTTTTCTTTTTTACATTATTTTTACAAACACACAAGTGTTCTTGACTACAGAGAGATGTTGCGTGGATTCGTTTATTATGGCGAGCAGTTTGTTGAAGTACCGGATGAGACGGTAACACTTAAAGACATTTGCCAATCCTTTGGAATTACGGGAGATCTCACCGGTGTTTGTGTGAGAAACCGCGCTAGTGCCCGAGTCGTGGCAACACTGCCGTTTGAATCACTTCCCGCAACGGATAGTTTACGCGGAGATGAAGACAATATATACGATCTTTGTACTCCAGGCGATCACAATAGTTATCATAATAATAATAATAATAATAATAATAATAATAATCAGGATCCATATAGTAATAGGGTCCCTGATGATGATGATAATAATAATAATAATAATAATAATGGGGAAGATACACCCACAACAGATGATATGACGGAGATATTGAGACAATTAGTACAATTGGGCGCAGCGTCACTTCTCACAATGACGTCTGGAGCGCAATCATCATTTGAATCTTATGATCCCCGCACATCGCCTGGACTCTTATTGCGCACGATTTACCCCTCATCTATTTATTCACCCTATCGACACAGTGGAGATCCACTGAACACACAAGATAGACTTTCAATGGGAACAACAATATCATCATCAACAACATCAACAGCAGTGGTGAATAAATTAACGGGTCCACCGTATATTAGTGCTGTAGAGCCTTACGTGGTAGAAGAGGCAACAGAGGCGTTATTGCAGCAACGCCCAGATCTCATACCGCAGACAGAGGAGGAGGCACAAGATATTCTGCAGGGTCTAATGGCAGCCGCTACACAAGCAAAGGCAATGATGGCAATGGCTAATGTAGAGGAAGAACAACGTGGACCGGTGGATGTAAAGCCTAATATTCAACAAATGGGTATTTAGGTGAAAAATAATAATAAAAAACAAAAGATGATATGGTGTTATCTTTTTTTCTTTTGTATATATATATATATATATATATCTGTTGTTAAGGTGAAAGGATGAATGTTTGAAGATGTTGAGAGGATCCTGTAGTGTGTGAGAGAAATGAGAAATGGTTGGTTGATTAGTTGATTGGTTTGATGGAGAAGAATGTATGCCTCAATTATGAGTGAGTTTTACCCTCAGTTTATATAATAATTGATTCCTATTTCAGATTAATTTTCTTCTCTCTGTGTATTTGTACAAAATGAAAATAAAACAAAATAAAATAAAAATATTACTTCTTTTTTTATATGTATTCATTCTCCTTATGGTTTTTTTCTCTTTCTTTCTTTCTTTCTTTTTCTATGTGTGTATATGTGTAGTTGTGCAAATGTATCGTTATAGACGATCTTCATATGGTGGACGCCGTGGGAAAGTATCATTCTGCTCCAACTCTTCACTACTTTTGGTGTTAATCTTTCTAATCTTCAACGTCTTATTGTGGCAGTACTCGTGGGAGCATAAACTACACACCGCGAAGGGATCCTTGAAGGATTTACTACTCAAACAGAATGATATGAATGGTAAATCCAATGATAATGATAATATTAATAATAATAATAATAATAATAATAATAATAATAATAATAATAATGTTAAGGCGGGTGTTGATAGGTATGCTTTAAATGCTAAGAAAGAGGAAAAGATGTTAGAAGAAAGAATATCAGCATCAGCAGCAACAGAAGAAGTCGTACTACACAATGTGGAAGAATCTTCATTACTTCATGTGCAATACACGCATGAGAGTAAATTGTGGACACTTAAAGATATTATAAAGAAATTGGATTATAAAAAAGGAATAACACCAAGTATTTGTCCTCCTTTACCAGAAAATATTACTATACCATTAAAAGAAACTTTTGAAATTGGTATGATACGTGAGTTTCTTGGAGGTATGTATCATCCTGAACATTGCAAGTGGTTAAAACGATATGATAATATAGATCAAAATGATAATCATGATAATAATAATAATAATAATGAAAAAGATAATGACAGAGAAGCATATATAAATAAAAAAAATGAATTATTGGAAAATTGTAGAAAAGAAGCTGAAAGAGCAAAAGCAGAATTAGTAAATCATACACCAAAGTACGCCTATGTTATGATGGTTTCTAATCATCGTTACTTAGATGGAGCTATGGTGTTGGCAGATTCTATACGTCAACATTCTCCCTTTACTCGAAATCGAACTGCAGAAATAGTATTAATGATTAATGAAAATATAAAGGAAGATATGTTTCCATTACTACAAGTTACTTTTGACCGTGTTAAAATATATCATGGGCTTCAAACGTGGGCAAAAAAAAGTGCATATCAAGCAACTTTTGATAAAATTTATATTTTCACATTAATGGATTATACAAATGGAATAGTTTTCCTTGATGCCGATACCCTTATCACAGAAAATCCTGATTATTTATTACAAATGCGTGAAAAAATACAATCCGTATTGAATTCTACAGATTTTAATAGTGGGAAACCAAAGTTTCCAGAAGCCTCTTTATACCCATTATCAGATTCACAATGGAATAAGATTATGAAAAGAAAAGAATTACCTCATCTTTTCGCTGTGGGTGATAAGGAATATTTTCAAACCGGTTTAATTCTTCTTCAACCTTCTATGAAAATTTTTTTAGATCTTTATCTCGAATTCCGTTTTGGAAGTTATGGTTATAATCGTTGGCAGGCACGTGATGGAATTCTCTTCCGAACTTGTTTTAAAACAATTGGGGAATTATACTCCCGTCCTCCCGCTATTCATCACTTTACGGGAACTCCTAAACCGTGGTTTAACTTGGAGAGACTAGATCATAGTTTAGAAACTATGGGTGTATATATGAAGAAACAAATTCCACAATCTTGGCGTGATCATGCCTATCGATATGAATGGTGGACACGGTATGAATTACTTCACAAGGAAAGTTTTTATAATATTGAAATGGAAACAAGAAAAAGAGCTGGAACTCTGCAAGAAACAACATTTCGTATGTGGGAAAAAAAATTAGGAAAAGAAAAAACGAATCTTCCTCCTGAAGCACACATTACAAAATATGGTGGAGCCATGTTATTACGTAAACCAACAACTTCACTTCCACTTCCATTAGGTCTTCATTCACGAGAAGATGCTGCTAATGTCTCACCCAAAGACTATATGTGGTTAATGCGTTTTGGTAGAAATGTTGAATATCTTCGTCCTACAAGAGAACATATGGCTAAATTACGTACTTATACTTTTCCTATTGCCTCTGCAGATGATTTACATGATATTTTACCAGTCCTATCCTCTTGTCAAATAAATAATTCTACTACTACTACTGATGCTGCTGCTGCTGCTGCTGATGCCGCTACCACATCTGAAGGCTATTGTCCCGCCTTCGGTACTTCAAGTGCAGGTAAAGAAGGTGTGGTGTACGCTTTTGCTTTAAGAGATCATAGCAAAATAAAGACGACAAACGGAGAAGCTGATGCGGTGGATGTTGTAGCTAAAGGAGAAGAAGAGGAAGAAGAAAAAGAAAAAAAAGTAAAATGGACCAATTGTGAGAAAAGATGTAAAGAGTTAAAATTGCAATGTGATGAGGCGGCATTACTTGATACACGTATTGCTGACTGTAAGTATGGTGAAACTGCAGGAACTATGGCAAATGGCCTTATTCGTTGTAAGCGCTGCTTACCTCATTTTAAGGAAGGTGCCCCATTTGTTGTATATCGAAATGGAGAAAAACAGAAGAATTCTTCTTTTGTTCAATATGCGGAGGTGTGCTTCTTTAATGCATGGACACGTTATGGTTTGCCCCACTGCAATGCGTCCGAACCACGTATTCGATTGTATGAATTACGTGAAGGAGATTCTTTGGCTCCACTTTGTGCTTGTCGTTGAGGAGTTGTATTGATAATGTGAACATTTCTTCCTGTTTTTTTTTTTTTTTTTTTTTNTTTTTTTCTTAGTCAACATTTCTTTGATTTATTTTATATAATATATATTGTTATAATGTTTTCTTTTTTTTTTTGTTTTTCTTTGCTTTTTTCTTGTTTTTGTAATGTGCTGTGGTTTCTTTTGCATTCCCTTTTTGTTTTTCTTTTGAGAAAAAGAAAAGGACCATTTGAATTCTTTTTTTTTTTCTCATTGTTGTAATTGTTGTTTGATCTGCATTTGTTTGTTCCTATGGTAATATACCCATACATATAAATACAGACTTATTATTATTATTTTTCTTATTTCTTTTAAACCTCTTTTTCCTTCTATTATTATTATTATTATTTTTTTTTCTTTTAGTATAAGTGAAAACAGAAAGGAAAGTTCGGGGAGGAAAGAGAGGAGATATATATATTTATATATATATATATAGTTAAGCGTGGGATGAAGGGCGTTGGCACGTGGGAGTCCGCTGTGGAGGTGGCAGAGGCCCAAAACGGTGGAGTGAAGAAAAAGCGCAGCGGCGGGTTTCAGAGTTTAGGTCTTGACAAGCCGCTACTCGATGGAGTGCTGCGGCTCGGCTACGCCGTCCCAACTCCCATTCAACGTAAAGCCATTCCTCCAATGATTCAGGGAAATGATGTGGTCGCAATGGCCCGTACGGGATCTGGTAAAACAGCAGCATTTCTTATTCCTATGCTGAATTTGTTAAAGGCACACAGTAAAATAGTGGGAATTCGTGGTCTTATTTTATCTCCTACACGTGAATTAAGTTTACAGATTCTTCGATTTGGTATTCAATTAAATAAATTTTTAGATCTTCGTTTCGCAGCATTAGTTGGTGGTAACTCATTGGATCAACAATTTGAATATCTTGCCTCTAATCCAGATATTGTAGTTGCCACTCCTGGACGTTTACTTCATATTATGGAAGAAGCATCACTTCATCTCTCAATGGTGAAATCTCTTGTTTTAGATGAGGCCGATCGTCTCTTTGAACTTGGTTTACAACCACAAATTGTTGCTATTATGCAAAAAATACCCGAAAATTGCCAACGTGCACTATTTTCAGCTACCATGCCTAGTGTTTTAGCAGAGTTTACAAGTGCAGGACTTCATAATCCAGTTGTTATTCGTCTTGATGCTGATATGAAATTAAGTGACAAATTAAAACAAAGCGCTTTTCTCGTTCGTAATGATGAAAAAGTAGCAGCTCTTATTGTATTACTAAAAAAGGTTATTGGTATAACATCTGATGGTAATAATAAAGAACAGGCACTTATATTTGTGGAATCAAAGTATCACGTAGACTTTTTACAAATGATTATGGAAGCCTATCACATCTCCTGCAGTGCCGTACACGGACACATGGATCAAGAAGCCCGTCGAAATGCTGTAAACGCCTTTGCAAAGCGTCAAACAAGTGTAATGATTGTTACCGATGTTGCTGCTCGTGGTCTTGATATTCCATTATTGGATAATGTTGTGAATTTCTCATTCCCACCCACACCGAAATTATTTGTTCATCGTGTGGGTCGAGTCGCACGTGCTGGACGTCATGGTGCTGCCTATGCTCTCTTTACATATGATGACTTTGCCCACTTCGCGGATCTCATGTCATTCCTTCGTCGTCCATTACGTTGTCAACATCATGCGGCAAGTCTAACTGATACTCCTGATGATGGATATTATGGTCGTATGCCTGAGGAAGAATTGCAATTGGAACGGGACTTTCTTCGTCGATTATCTGTAGCAGATGTGGAGGTGCGAAATATGGAGAAGGTTGTGGAGAATGCCCATAAGAAGTTTACACGTACACGAAAGAAGGCAACCCAAGAGGCCATTCGTGAAGCTCGACAGGAGAAGTATCAATTTGATCAAACCCCTTTACATCCTATCTTTGTGGAGAAATTGGAGTCTAAACGCATTGCCGCAGATGAGGCACGGTTTGATTTAAAACGATTTAAAGCAAAGGATTCTGTTCTTGAAATCATTCATGGTGAGAAGATGTTTGAAATTAAGAAACCTGTCACTTTACAATCACTCTGGAAGCAGCAACGAGAAGAAGAACAGGAAGAGGAGGAGAAAGAAGAACAAGAAGAAGGTCAGAAGAAGAATCAAAAAGGTTTAACCAAAAGTAGCAGTGATAATAAGAATAATAATAACAACAACAACAATAAGAAGAAGAATGTGACCGCAAATGATACAAACCCTCCAGTGAAGAAAAAATTATCTCTTGCAGAATCTCTTCTTTTAAAAGCACAAGAGCGAAAGAAGAGAGAGCGAGAAACTGTGGATGAAGATGATGATGGAACTACAGTTTTCTTATCAGAAGGTGTACACTATCTTGATTCTGACCGAAATGCAGAAGGTGGAAAATATCGTGATCGAGATTTCTTTATGGATACGGTAAAACATAGCACTATTGAAGATACACACTATTCTGTAAAGGATGCAACACTTGATATTGGAGCAGAAAGTGCACAGGAAGAACAACAACAACGTAATGTTTATGCATGGAGTAAGAAGAAGAATCGTTATGTTCGAATGAATGTAACTGATGCCAAGGCATTATTACGAGGTGTAAAGAATGAGGCCGGTAAGGCGGTGAACTTCAAATCTAAGCTTGAAGCCTACTCACGTTGGATGAAGAAGAGTAATATGCGTATTCAGGATGTTGGTGAAGAAGAAGATCTTGGACCTCTTAATCGTGCTCGTGAGGCCCGATCATTAGGTGAAAACAATGGGGATGAGGATGATGAAAATGAGACCGTGGATATCAGTGATCCGAATCAAGGGAAGAAGTTACGCATTGGTCGTAAACAACGACGATTACCAAAGGATGGTCATGTTCGTACCTTTGAAGAAATGGCACTTATTAAGCGTAAGGCAGAAAAAGAAAAGGCACGTTTGGCCCGTAAAGCAAGTAGACGAAAGAGTAAATAAAGGTGAGAAACAGTATAATGTGAAGAAAAAAAAGATGATGATGATGATGATGATGATGATGATGATGAAGTATTATTATTCACTTACTTTTCTTTTTATTATTATTATTGTGTTATTTTTGTGTAAGGATTCATTTGTGCTAAGAGAATTAGTGAAAATGGTGGAACTGTGAAAATAGTACCATCGATCTATTTATCTATTATCTCTCTATGGAGTTCTGCATAATATTTTATGCGAATACTAGTAGCAGCATCCTTATCATTATCATCAACAGCTGCGGTAATAATAATAATAAGAAGCTTCAACGAAACGTTTAATCCAGAAAAAAAAAAAAAAAACAGCATTCTGTTAAAGAAGGATAACAGTAAAGTAAAAAAGAAAAAAAGGAAACAGATAAGTTTTTTTTTTTCCTTCTTTCTTTTCTTTTTTTTTACGGAGACAGAACAGGGGTGATGAGTGTCTTCACCAAGGCAGAAGTAAACTATACATATATTTTTGTATGTACTTGTCTATTTAACTGTATAACTCGTGTGTTCATATTATAATAAAATAAAAATAAATTGATGTGTATATTAAAAGATTTCTTTACTCCTAAATTAAAACAAACATGCATCTTTTTCTTTTTCTTTTTTTTTTCTGATTTTTAATCACATGAAAAAATAAAAATAAAAAAAAGGAAGTGTAAACCCAATAGTATTTTCTTCCCTGGAAGAAAGTCTGTGGGACGATCATGCATGGCCTCACGTACCCCAAATCGGGGGAAAAACGAGGAGTAAACCCCTTCACGGGGAGTGTACAACTTCCATCGCTTGAGACAAGTAGAAAAGGCAACACTCCACTGATGAGATCACAGAAAAAACAGAGAGTGGAAACAGGAGATTCCTCACGGAGTAGTGCATCACTTCGAGTGAAGAAAACTACAGATAAGATTAGTAGTAGAACTCAGGTTCCAGTAGAAACAATTATGGAAATGAATAAGGAAGCTATGTCCTTATTAAAAGATGGAAAAATGAAAGAAAGTTATGCCATGTTACAATCAGCTCTATCAGCTGCTGAAAGAGGTGTTCGTCGTTTTCAAAGACACCCACAAGAAACAAATAGTGATATTCAAGGACAACGTGAAGCCTGGCTTCTTGCCTTTGCAGCTACACTAAGTAACTTGGGATGTGTAAGACGTCGGGATAATCAATTACAGGAAGCGGTACGTTATTTACGAGATGCCAGTAAAATTGAAGTACAGGTATTTGGAAAACCATCCTGTTCAACTATGGTAAATCTCTCTGCGGTATTACTTGGAATGGGCGAATCGGAAGAGGCGTTAACAATTGCGCGTGATTGTGTAGTCGCCTCCGAGCAAAGTGATCCAATGCTACACGTTATTGCTCTTCATAACTATGGAGTGACACTCAGTAATCACCCAACAGAAGCTATGCGGCAATCCGCAGCGGATGTATTGATGAGAGCTCTTCAAGCAGCGGAATCTCATTTGGGAGAAAACCATCCAACGACAGTTCTTATTCGTGAAAGATGTGGAATGACATTACATAAACCTTCTCAGGAGAAAAATGAAACAATTCCCACTACGACAGTTCCTGTTGCCCAAGTAAGTCCAAACCTTCGTAGAACTGGACCATTTCCACTTGCTGGACGTATGCTACCCCCAATTGATCCATCACTTATTCATCGAAAACAGGCCCAAGATGCCATTAAGACTTTAGATTATGGAGAAGTTCCAGTTGTTCCTCCTCCTCCTCCTCCTCCTCCACCATCTACTTATCTTCCTCTTCCTCCTACTAGTCACTCTTCTTCTACTACTTCTTCAGTTGCTGCTGCTGCTGTTGCTGTTCCTGTTTCTATTGCCCCTACTCAAGCTGCAGACTCTATTGCTAATGGTGATCATGATCATGATAATGGTGGTAATGTGGATTCTTCTATTTCTCCTATAAAAAATTCTCTTGCTGATGGTTCTCTTACAGCTATTTCAGCTGTTGCTTCAGAAGTCTCTGCAACTCCAGTTAAATTGGAAGAACATGAGTCAATGCCAATATCGTCATCAAGTTTAAATGTAAAGAACAATATGAATCCTACAAATCCTCGCATGTCATCACCATTACAATCTAATTCAGTTGGTTCAATAAAAGAAGAAACACATAAAAATCCTCTTGAACATTCTTTATCTTCTGATATTCCTGCTCCTGTACATTGTGAACATGTTTCTGAAACTTCAATATTGTTGGCATCTGGATCGTTACATGTAAAGCCAATCATATCTACATCTATGAATGAAGACTCTGTGGGTAGTGATATGATGACAGGAGGAAAAAGGAGTAGCAGTATTTCTATAGATGCCGCAGCGGAAACAGTTGCAGGAGCTGGAGTTCTTGCTATTTGTCGTGAAATAAGAGAAGTCGAAGAAGCAAAAGAAAAAGAAAAAGAGACTAAAAAGAAGGAAGATACCAAAAAGGTCACAAATGTATCACAACAATCAAAAAAATCTTCTTCATCCAATAAAGCTATTTTTATGGGATTTATTCCATTTGGAGATCAAAGAAAAGGTATGCAACCATCATTTTTCCGTTTTGCCCCACCTGATAAGGATGATGTTCCTCCTCGTGAACCACCAGCTCCAATCAATGAAGCCGCTCCAATAAACGAATTTCCTCCAGAAAAGTCTGTAAAAGATTATGATTATTCAGATTCTGAGGAAAATGAAGAAGCACCAGTTGAAAAAAAAAAGGTAGAAGTAGAGGATACAGAAGAAAAACCAACTAATAAAATTAGAGAAGTTCTTATCAAGACAATTGGAGCCAATCCTGTTAAACGACGAGAAGAACGTATTCAAAGAGAACGTGAAGAAGAAAAAAATCTTCGTGCTCGTCTTCGTCAAGAAGCTGAGGAAGCGGCGAAAAAAGAATATTTTGAACAAACTCTTAATAAAATTATTACACGTACAAGAGATAGAGCCGCTAGAAAAATTCAATATTTATGGTTTTATTGGTGGAACAGTATAGGAAAACGAAGACGAGAATTATTACGTAAACGAGAAGAAGATAGAGCACGAAGAGAACGTGCTCGTCAAGCTTTACTTGATCATGAACGTCGTGTACAAGAGGCATTAAAAGAAAAGAAAGCTGCTATGGATGCTCAAGCTGCAGTAATTGCATCTGTATTACGTTGTGGAAAGAAATGGTTATCAAAGACAGCTTGTGTACGGTATGTGGCTCGTAGGAAAATTCCTCGTAATGATCATGATAATGCATATTTTTTAAATAAAATTGCTAAAATTCAAGCAGCTTGGAGAGGTTTTTCTACTAGACGTCGTATAAAAGATTTGGTTATTACCCGAAAACAATCATTAACTCAATATCATGAAGAAGAAGTAAAAGAATATGCGGCTACTGTTATTCAATTATTTGTTCGTCGTGTTTTTGCACGAATGGAAAAACAACGCAGAGCTGTGGAACGATATACTCCTCCAACCATTCGTATTCAAAGATGGTTTCGACATATTATGCCTTATAGAAGAGCACTTGGTATGGATCGTGTATCCAAATGGAGAAGAGAATACTCTGCTCGTATGATTCAACGTGCATGGCGTGATTATTTACAACGTCTTCATTATTTTATGGAACGTCTTCGATATAAATTAGATGAAGATAGAAGAAAAGAACGTTATGCTGCTGATGTGTTAAAGCGAGTGGGACGTGGATTTATTTCAAGAAAATACCTTTCAAAACTTAGTGTACGAGATAAAGAACTTCGTAAAGTTATGTATACTCTTGAATGGGGAGAAACGAAGGATGTAGAAAAAGTTCCTGATTCCAACGCTTTATTGCCTTCTCAATCAGAATACGTTCCAACACCATTAGAAGAAGTTCTTAGAGTAGCAGAGATAGAGAGGGAAAAGTATCATATTGGATTATTTGTTGACCAGGTAGCCAAACGAGAACGTGAGGAATGGAAAGAAGTACTTCGAACTCGTCCATTTGAAGTACAAAGACGACGTGCACAAGAGGATCATCTCTGCGAAATTGAACTAAATGCCTCCAGACGAGAACGAGCGGCAATAAAAATTCAAACGGAATTTCGACGATGGCTGCGTATTCGTGATGATCCATCACGTGATAAGACTCTACTTCTCATTGGTCGTGGACGCTACCAACAAACATACTATGGACATAAGGTAGAAAAAGTACGTCATCTTCATGAACAGGAAGTTGGAAAAACTTTATATGGTGATCAAACAGCGCCAATGCGGGCGGCTCGAATGGAAGCAGAAGAGGAATTAAAAGGAGTTCGTCCATTTGTGCGTACATTTGTGCCGAAGGAAGAAGTGCGAAGTCGAGAGGAGCGATACCGTGTAGAAAGGGAACTTCGACGGGATGAAGTATTAGTGGAACAGAAATTGAGTGTAGAGCCCACCGTCCAGGGACGTGAATCAAGACTGCGGCGAGCCCTAAGGGAGCAATCACAATCACAGATGAAGGAAATTACCTAATTCTCCTGGAACTTGTTTATGTTGGTAAGGAATTGGGCCAACGTAGAAAAGAAAAGAAAAAAAAAAAAGAAAAACAGGAAAAACAAAAAAAAGAAGAAGAAAAAGAATGTACAGAATAATATAATGTTTGATGTAAAGATAATGGAAACTATTTGGAAGCCAAATGTCGTTTTTTTTTTTGTTTGTTTGTTTTTTTCTTCTTTTTTTTTTTTTTCGTTTCGTAATTATTGATGGTATCTTTTTGATTTCAAGTGTGTTAGTGGAAGAAAGAGTACAAAAAAAAAGGAGAAAAGAGAAACAAAGAATAAGGTATGATAGTGGTAAAATACCCTGCTGCTGTGGGGTGATCACATCATTTGCTCTTTTAAACTCTTGCTCTTTTTTTTTCTTTTTTTTTTATATTGATCTTTCTTTCATTTGATATTTTTCTCGCCTGTGTGTTTTATATGGTTGTTGTTGTTTTTTTCTTTTTTCGCTTTTCCTATCTCCCTTTATTTCATAACAGAAATGTATACAATATTATAGGGGTTTGGGATGTGACTACAGCTCTTGCATCCATAAAGAAGAAAGAAAAAAAAAGAAAGAAAATACAGCTGTGTGTATACATGGTGAAAATTCTTTGTATTGTTTTTTTTTTTTTTTTTTTTCTCTTTCTCTCTCTCTCTCTTTTTAAGTCTTTTTTATGTGTCTCTGAAGATCATTTTTTTTTTTTTATATTTTCTTTTTTCCAAATATTATTTCTGTAATGTTTTCTTTATTTTATTTTATTTTTTTGTTTTTTGTTCTTTTTTTTTCTATTTACTGTTTCTTTTTTTTTTTTCTTTTTTTTTCTTTCTTTATTGGTGTGTGTAGTATTAATTAGATGATTTCTGATGCGGAGTTCTGGATGGAGGTGCGGCGTAAGCAAGAGAGAGGTAATGCTATTTTTACCGCCATGTTGCCACTATTGCACTCCCGACAAGTGGCTCTTGACTCTGGTGTAGAACCAAGAGAAGGAAATCTTGATTACAGCTTTGCCTCTACTGGCCTTATACGTAGTCAGAAGCAAGTATCGAAAGAACCATATGCGGATAATAAGGTTTTACATATACCCAACTCAAATATACCTAATCGACCTGTTTCCACCAGTGTAATACGTGTCTTGCAGCAGGTTATGATGTTCGCTGTACCTCTCTATACATTACGGTACAGTATTCCTGCTATGTCAATGGGCTCAAAGACTAGTTGCCTAGTAGATAGATTAACAAAACAATTAATCACTTTTGGAGCTGGTGAGGGTGTAAAAGTTCCTCAACATCTAAGATGTCGTGGTTGTGTTGCTGCAGATGGTTTTTTCGCTGTATTAACAGATCAAGATGAAGTATGGGCTTCAGGTGGTTTGGTCGTTTTAGCATATGAAGGTGGAAATTGGACTTCTGTACCTCTTGGAAAGGAAGAAATTATGACAAATATTGCAGGAAAGTCACTTATGCTTGTTGGACATGGATCTCGACTTGCCTGTGTTACACGTGCTTTCACTGTTCGTCCACTATCTATTGTATCTAATCCAGTCAGATCTATTATACCTTTTCGTCATGTGCGTTTTTTAGATTTGGGTTACGGTGAAGATTATTATATGGTTGGAGCAGATTCTGTATTATATAAGACCATCGCATCAAGACGTTCACTTGGAACTCCTCGTAGAGTTATGGCATTAAGTCGAACTGCCGTTTCTCGTATCGCATGTGGAATGGGATTCTGTCTTGTAATTGATCAAAATGGACATTTATATACTTTGGGTCGTAATAAAAAAGGACAACTGGGAATTGGACAATTACATAATGTTCGTAGAAGACCTTTTCTTCATACATCTCTTCGTCATCATTTTTTTGTTATGGTCGCTGCAGGAGAATTCCACTCTTTAGCCCTTTCTAGTAGTGGAGTAGTCTATGGTGCAGGTAGCAATGAACAAGGTCAGTTGGGATTAGGTGATTCAGTAAAAGAATCAGTATACTTTACCGCAATTCCACTTCCATCGTTGTGTGTAGGAATAGCCGCTGGTCCTGAAGGTAGTATGTTTGCATGTGAAGATGGACGTGTATACGCTTGTGGGAAAAATAATTATAATCAACTAGGTGTAGAGAAGACAGATGCCATAGTTAGTACACCCTCTCCAATATCAGCAGTAACAACAGGTGTTGAAGCTTATACAATGGATTTTGGTGCCTATCGTAAACCACATATTAAGGTTCCAAACCCAACTGAAGTACCTGTGGAGCCGAATTCATCTCCTACTACTGCACCTACTGGAGACGGTGGACAAGAGTTATCACAACCAGAAGAACTGCCGCCAGATTTAGAGACTGAGGTGCCCACACATCCAGCAAGCATCCCCAATCATGAAAAAAAGAAGGTGAAAGAGGGAGCGTGCGCGAAGTGTTGTGTGATTATGTAGAGTGCCTTTTCTCATTTAGCCTATTTTTGGTAATGTTTTCCTTTTGTTGTTGTTGTTTTTTTTGTTTCTTTTTTTTTTTTTTTCTTTGTTCTAATATATTTATTTCCTATGGTGTTGTCCTTCGTGTGTGTGTGTGTGTGTGAGGGAAATAAGGGAAAAGAGGTTCGTTATCTACACAGGTGTGAGGGTGTCTGTGTATGTGTTTGTGTGTGTTTCTTTCCTTCATCTCTTGAAGATAAGCACCTGCATTGTCTCTTTTAGATTGTGTCACTACTAGAGAATTGTTAACCTTATTTCAGTTAACTTGTAGTGGTTATTTTCGTTTTTTTTTTTTTTGTTGTTTTTTTTTCGTTTTTTTGTTATGTTGTTCTTCTCTATTTCTCTTTTTTTTTCTCTTTGTTTATTTAATATTCTTTCTCTCTAGGTGTTGTTATTAAGAAGAAGGCGAAGGAGCAGCAGCAGCAAAAGAGGAAAGAGAGAGGAACATAGCTCACTCTTTTCGCACAAAAGTGGATATTTGCTCTCAAATACTCTATTATTATAATCTGTTGCCTCATTTTTCTCATATAACGTCGTTAGGGCCGATAACTTGAACATCTTTCTCTTTACACAAATAAAAAAAAGCAAAAGAAACAAAAAAGAAAAAAAAAAAGAGTATCAAATAACGTACAAAAAGAATAAAGAAAAAAAAACTTAAAATATCCCTAGATACCGTTTTATTATATATAATATATATAATATAGTCCTTTTTTTTCTTTCGTGTGTGTGTGTGTGTTGAATCACTTGTGAGTTTTTTTTTTTTTTCTTTTATATAATATTCTGATTGATATTTACGCGATGCTCCGCACGACTCGTATGGTCCGAATGCCCTTCTCGCGTTTCTTCAAAGGGCGGCGCAACACGGCGGAGTATTACTCTGGCCGCGGCGGTGCGGAGGGACACCCGGATGAAGTCGCTGTACTCGTTAGCGGTGGGAGAACAGACCCGGAGTGGATGTGGTTGAAGTTGTTGTGTTTTGTGTGTATGAGCTCCACTGTGGGGACGTGGTTGTGGCAACTAGTGTTTTATGAGCAGGCGAAGTTTTTTAAGGATGAACCATGGTCACCATTTAAGAACTGAGGGAAAAGAGAGAGAGAGAGAGAGAGAGGGAAAAGGTCTGTGGTGCGTCTAGAAAGAGAAAAAGAAAGAGAGAGGGAGAGAGAGGCTCTAGTAATAAGAAGAGTTATATATATATATATATATATATATATATTCTTCATTATGACTTGTGATGGAATGATGTATTTGGGATTGTTTTCTTTCCTTTTCTTTTCTCTTTTTTTTTTCTTTTTTGGTTGTGTACTTAGAACGCAGAAGGTTAGGAAGAAGAAGAAGGAAAAATAAACAAATATAGGGACACATTAGCAATTAGTTTGAATTTTAAGCATAATTCTGGAGATGGGAACTATCTTCTTATTTGAGATAATCCAACACTAGACATACATCTACTTTTCTTCATATGATGGTAAATTATATTCTAAATTTGTTCATATTCTGAAATTACTCGGTTGAAAGTTTACTAATACCACTGATCAACAATTACTCTCATTCTTAACTCTATTTCATCCCCTTTCTCACATGATGGTAAATTATATTCTAAATTTGTTCATATTCTGAAATTACTCGGTTGAAAGTTTACTAATACCACTGATCAACAATTACTCTCCTTCTTAACTCTATTTCATCCCCTTTCTCACATGATGGTAAATTATATTCTAAATTTGTTCATATTCTGAATTTACTCGGTTGAAAGTTTACTAATACCACTGATCAACAATTACTGTCCTTCTTAACTCTATTTCATCCCCTTTTTCACATGATGGTAAATTATATTCTATATTTGTTCATATTCTGAATTTACTCGGTTGAAATTCTAATAATAACACTGACCACCCTTACTTCCCTTCTTAATTCTATTTCATCCCTCCACACTCTACTCAACAAGTTGTAATTATAAACATTCCCTTAGTTAATTCTATTGTTCTTATACATTTATGTATATCTCTGTGTGTATGTGTATATTATTTTCTTTGTATCTCTCTATTTCTCTTTTCTTTTTCTTTTTTGTTTTATCAATAAATATTAGTTCTACAAGGGGTTTTTTTTTTTTTCTTTTTGTTTTGCCAACTAATATCGTTTCCTTTTTTTTCTTTAGAAAGAAAAAGAGAGATTTATTATATACTTGCTATATATATATATATATATATAATAATGTCCTACAATGAGCGTCTTAATAATTTATTCGCCGCTTACGCTCCGGAGAAACTTCCACTCATCCCTAAACTATTGCAGAAGTATGAAGGAAGGGAAGAGGAGGTGTTGCGGAGTCTCATCAAGAGGTTTGGTCCAGAGCCCAGTATGATATTAGAAGATACACCAGATGACAGCAACCATAGTAATGGTAATAATAATGACAAGAAGAGTTACTATCGTGAACGACTCATTCGATTTTACACGAAGTATGCCCCCAAAAAACTCTCACGGGTGGATAAAACACTTGAACGATTTTCAGAACGTGAAGAAGAATTATTTTTTGCTCTAGTGAAGATGTATGGTCCTGAACCACAAGAACAACCATATAATAATTCCTCTTCTGCTATTGGGGTAAAGCAACCAGATAATTTTTCCGATACCCAAAGTAACGTAAGTACTAGTACCGTTAGTAGTATATGGGTTCCATACAATGTTCATGATATGAAATGGCGTCTCTCTCGTCTTTTAATGGAGTACGCCCCGGAAAAGTTAACCATTGTTGATCAACTGATGGAAAAGTACGCAGGCCATGAAGAGGAAATGCTCACTAGCTTTGTAGACCGTTATGGTCCAGAACCCCCATCGCCCATTACACAAACTCCACAGATTCGTCTTCTTCGCTTTATGGAACTCTACGTACCGCACAAAACTGCTCTTGTGGACTCTTTACTTGCCAAATATGAAGGACGTGAAGAAATTCTCTTTGGTACACTTGTGAGTAAACTCGGACCAGAGCCACCAGCCCCATTTACAGGCGATGGACCTCCACTTCCCACCTATCGTCAGCGATTAATTCTCTTTTATAAAGTGTACGCACGGGAGAAGTTGGCGAATGTAGATGTGGTCTTGCAGCGATATAAGGGACGAGAAAAGGAAATGTTTCGCCTGCTGGTGGAGAAGTACGGGCCGGAGCCGGATCCCAACATGGACCCCGACGCCCCACTCCCACCAGAGAAGAATTATCACGCACGACTCTCACGACTCTTCACAGCATACGCCCCACATCGAATGGAAAGTGTGCCGTTGTTGTTAAAACGATATAAAGGTCGTGAAGAGGAAATTATAGCGGCATTGGTGAAGAAACTTGGGCCGGAACCTCCAATAGATGAAGACTCAACTCAATTAATATCGCAGAAGAATGAAGATGATGGTGAAGAAGAAGAGGGGAAAATGAGTGGTAAGGAAGAGTCTAAAACAGAGCAAAAGGTAGAAAAATGGAATGATTGGTTACGTCACTTGTTGGTTCCCTCTTCAATGTACCGCCGATATGCCGTTAATTGTTTGGGTGAGGAACGGGTATCTCTATTAGAGTCTCATTTCGGTATACCTCGACGGATGCAAATAAAAAATAATAATGGTGAGAATAATAATAATAATAATAATAATAATAATAATAATAATAATAATAATAATAATAATAATGAGCGTTGGGTGCTAGAGCACTATAGTGACAATAACAATAACAACGATAATGGAGACTCAGAAAATGTAGAATCTGAAAGAAAGGATTCCAACACATCACAAATGTTGGAAGTATATGAAAAACCAGATATAGCTGAAAATATGAGTGCAAATTTTGCTTGTCTTATTTTAATGTTAGAGACTGTAGATTTTCCTTTACCAAAAACTTACAAAGAGGGAGAAATATTTCGTCGATATCCATTCTGTACTGTTCTTAGTGAACGTGATGAATATACTTTACAAACATGTGTAGCACTTGTGGATTTACAAAAACAATGTGAAGAATATACTCGTCGTCTCTGGCGTGAAGAGGAAGTAACACGTCAACGTTTACTACTACATCTCGAAACTTGGAAAAGACAACATTCTTCTACTCTAGATGAGAAAAATTCTTATATGCAGCGTGTACTTGTTAAGGCTATTGAACTACTACCAGAATTTGAAGAAAAAGAGAGACAAGAAATAGATACAGTAGAGAAGATTGAATTTAAGGCAAAAAGTATGTGGTTTTTCAAAGGATTAGAAACCCCTCAAGAAGAAAATTTAAGTCCTTTTAGTGAAAAGTATGATGAGAAACTTAATCGATGGAAATCTCTTGTTTCTGGTAATAATTTGTCAGTTACACCTCTCTTAAAACGACGTATAATAAATGGAAATAGTAATAGTAAACGTAGAGGCAGTTCCAGAGATTTTCATTTCAGAAGAAGTCTACATCGTATAGAAGAACCTATAAAGACCTTTTCACCAGAAAAAGAAGAAGAATTTACAAAGAAAAACTTTCATACCTTATCAAATGATAAAAATCACATATTGACAACTGCTTCAACTTCTATTCCTGTTAATAAAACCATGATTCCAACACGGAAGGATATGAAACTAACCCCTTATCCAAATCAAGACTCTTGTAGAAGTATAGATCTCTCTAATTTCTCCCCAATACCAAAAAAACCTTATACAATGGGAGAATCCACAGAACGTGTACTTCGTTTTAGTGAAATATCAAGGGATAAGTCCACAAGTCCTACAGTCTTAAGTGTAAAAGTAAATCCTAACGGACGTGATAAGTGGGGACCAGCAAGAGATGGTCGTCTTTCTGAACTTGCACCGCTTCCCTCATGTGAAAATTTTCAAGAGGCGGTTTTGCTAGGTGAAGACATACCTATATCTCCTTTACAGGAAAAACAAAATCAACGAGAAACTGAAATGAACCATCACTATCGTTATACTCCATTCTTTTTTGAAGGTGAACGTACTGCTTCTTCTACTCTATAATAGTAGTGGTGAATATACTTTTATAAGGAAGTGAAGGGGAACAAAAAAAAAAAAAAAAGAATCTCTGTATCCCTGTACATGAGTATTTTTTTTTTTTTTTTATTGTTTATTTCTTTATTTGTTTCTCTTTATCAGTATCATCAGTAGGGACAACTCTCTCTTTCTCACTTTCTCTGGAGAAGAGAAAGAGTGAGAGGGGAAAAGCTTTCCTGATATATCTACTTTTCAAGTTTTTTTTCTTAATTTTTTTTTACTTTAATGGGTGAGTTATTTCTTTTTCACTGTACTTGCTGACATTATTATTTATAATAACGTTCTTCACTGTATATTTACTTCTTTGTTTGTTTGCTTGTTTTGTTTTTCTTTTCTTTTTCGTGGGTTTTCCTATTCAATAATTTTAATCTACTGTTTCCCCCTTTGCATAGATAACTCTCAGGCTGCACTCCTTGATGGGATTTTTTTTTTTTTTTCCATTATAAGTGCATAACTATATATTCTTTTTCTCTCTTTCTTTTCTTTCTTCCCTTACCTGTTATCTCTTTGTTACTAACAACAGCAACAGCAACAAAAACAAGAATATCAACAGCAATAACAATAAGAGTAATTTACAGAAATGAGGACTTCACAGCTTCATTTACACATGACCGGATTCGGTCCATTTAAAGCCATCACAGATAACCCAAGTGCTACTATTGGAGCCACTGTAGCCCTGCAGTTGGCAGAGAAAAGTACATTAAGTGTTCACTATGAAGAACTCGCTGTGGAGTTGGAAGCTGTCTCTACATACTTTACAAGTCTTGAAGAGACACTTTCTCAGCAAATGGACTGTAATGGAAATGATGAACGTGTATTACTCGTCCATTTGGGTGTTCACAGTACAGAAATGAATGGACAATTACGTCTGGAAGTCTGTGGATATAATGAATTGGAAGGTAATCCTATTGATATTTCTAAACCAATGGATGTGAGTTTAGAAAGTGCCTTTATTCGTAATGGAAGTAATACAGCCACCGCAACGACCACACTCATAGAGCAGTTGAATACTGTCATTCAATCATTGGAAGAAAGAAGAAGGGGAGAAAATACGAATGATCATTCTGAACATAAAGGTCCACGTTGGATTATCTCTCATGATGCTGGACGGTATTATTGTAATTATGCTTTATATAGAAGTTTGAAGTTGCAAGAAAGATGGAATGGACGTGTGTTTGCAGTGTTTGTGCATGTAGTCATTCCAGAGATATGTGGAAACCCAAGTTTGGAAGAGCAGATATCACAAGTACGGTCACTTATTTTGGGTCTTGTGGAAATTGTAAATGAAAAAACATGAAGAAGAAGAAGACTGACAGTTTATTATTATTATTATTATTATTATTATTATTATTACTATTATTTAAGGAATTTTTTATTTTATTTATTTCGTTGTTGCTGTTGTATTTCCCGTAGGATTTCGTTTCTTTGCAGTAGGGGATCTTTTTTTTTTTTTTTTTTTTTTTTTTTTTTT